GAATTTACCATTGAAATAACTGAGGGATTAGCTTGTGACTGGTCATAGAAATAGCTATGTTAAAGTCAAAGCCTACACTCCTCAAACAGGAGAATTTAGCATTGAAATAGCTGAGTGATTAGCTTGTGACTGGTCACAGAAATGGCTATGTTAAAGTCAAAGCCTACACATCCACAGAGGCACCTAGTACAAATCAAACAGGAGAATTTAGCATTGAAGTAATTGAGTGATTAGCTTGTGACTGGTCATAGAAATAGCTACGTTAAAGTCAAAGCCTACACATCCACAGAGGCACCTAGTACAAATCGAACAGGAGAATTTAGCATTGAAATAGCTGAGTGATTAGCTTGTGAATGGTCACAGAAATGGCTATGTTAAAGTCAAAGCCTACACATCCACAGAGGCACCTAGTACAAATCAAACAGGAGAATTTAGCATTAAAATAACTGAGGGATTAGCTTGTGACTGGTCACAGAAATGGCTATGTTAAAGTCAAAGCCTACACATCCACAGAGGCACCTAGTATAAATCAAACAGGAGAATTTAGCATTGAAATAACTGAGGGATTAGCTTGTGACTGGTCATAGAAATAGCTATGTTAAAGTCAAACCCTACACATCCACAGAGGCATCTAGTACAAATCAAACAGGAGAATTTAGCATTAAAATAACTGAAGGATTAGCTTGTGACTGGTCATAGAAATAGCTATGTTAAAGTCAAAGCCTACACTCCTCAAACAGGAGAATTTAGCATTGAAATAGCTGAGTGATTAGCTTGTGACTGGTCACAGAAATGGCTATGTTAAAGTCAAAGCCTACACATCCACAGAGGCACCTAGTACAAATCAAACAGGAGAATTTAGCATTGAAGTAATTGAGTGATTAGCTTGTGACTGGTCATAGAAATAGCTACGTTAAAGTCAAAGCCTACACATCCACAGAGGCACCTAGTACAAATCGAACAGGAGAATTTAGCATTGAAATAGCTGAGTGATTAGCTTGTGAATGGTCACAGAAATGGCTATGTTAAAGTCAAAGCCTACACATCCACAGAGGCACCTAGTACAAATCAAACAGGAGAATTTAGCATTAAAATAACTGAGGGATTAGCTTGTGACTGGTCACAGAAATGGCTATGTTAAAGTCAAAGCCTACACATCCACAGAGGCACCTAGTATAAATCAAACAGGAGAATTTAGCATTGAAATAACTGAGGGATTAGCTTGTGACTGGTCATAGAAATATCTATGTTAAAGTCAAAGCCTACACATCCACAGAGGCACCTAGTACAAATCGAACAGGAGAATTTAGCATTGAAATAGCTGAGTGATTAGCTTGTGAATGGTCACAGAAATGGCTATGTTAAAGTCAAAGCCTACACATCCACAGAGGCACCTAGTACAAATCAAACAGGAGAATTTAGCATTGAAATAACTGAGGGATTAGCTTGTGACTGGTCATAGAAATAGCTATGTTAAAGTCAAAGCCTACACATCTACAGAGGCACCTAGTACATGGACGCCAAAGGGGCTGCAACAACTCGACTATCATATAGTAAACCGATGTGAAATATAATAAATGTACTCAATATATTCTTCAATAAGCTGAGCTATTAACAGTAACTGGGTATACACTAAAATATATAATGAATACCATATATTAAACCAATAAAAACTAAAATATAAACTACCTCAATGTTATCAATAAACTCTATATTCTCCAATCAGCTAAGCTACCAACAATAAGTCGTTATATATCACAATGCTATATGGCAAAAAAATGGGTGGATTCTTACCCTCAACTTCAGCACCACGGATAGCTACGAGCCACGTTCAGACGGACGAAAGCTTTAAATCGAAACTCAAATATTTACTTGCTTTAATTCTTTGGAGCATAAGCAAGATCAAATGTTAATTTCTATTCAACAAGGAGTACACGTGCTTTTATACTGTTTGTTGAAACGTTCTTACCCCGCCCTTACTGGACATCTGTAAAAAATAGCTTTATAGCTCATCGAATTCCTTCAGTATAAATACATCTTCTGATCTGTCAACCACTGTTGACTTACCCCGCACAATGTGGTACCGATATTATCGACCCCGGAGGGATGATGTGCTGAGTCAACCCCCAACCCAGGAATTGAACTCGCAACCTTAAGATTGATCTATACTTCAGTTGATAACGCAAAAATAATCGTTAGCATCGTTGATAATGTGACCATCGTCAACGGATAAGTAACGTCTCCATATATTTGTCGCTCTAAAATATTAAAGACTAGCTGTACTACCCAGCTTCGCCCGGAACTTGGATTCACCACACCCGGCCGTCTTTGTCTCCCCAGTGGCGATGTTGACACACCACAGCAGTTACTCATTTGAGGCTGAGTCGAACCTAGGGGAGGCCCAGGACCGGTTAAAATAATCGTCACTGGTGGTGGCCGTGAGCGGGAATCGAACTCGGGTCGCCGGGTTCGTAGCGCGGCACACTAACCACTACACTACAATGCGTTACGCTTCCACATGCGAGAGTCACGTGACAGATTTAACGTCACAGCTCACTTGCTGTGCAAAAAAGATATGCATTATTGAGCTCCCCCCCCCCCCACTAAAAAAGTTTATTTTTATAATTTTTGCATGGTGTACAGTCTGGAAAGTATCCACACGGCAAATTTCAAGTTTGTTACATGTCGGAAAGTACGCTAAACATTTTGAACAGACACACATTCCCAACTTTGCGGTGGAAGGATAGGGGTATGACGTCAGAACGCTTTTGGCATGTGGATGACGTCATCACGCAGCGGGGGGGCGCCGTTTGGCGTCATACGCACACAAACGCGGCGATGTCACGAGCCGCGCATGCGCACTTGGCCGAGAGCGAGCGAGTCAAGCCAGGAGTCCAGGCGTGACTCCAGCCGGCAAACTTTGTTTCTATAAAGTTGGACACGAAAACTTCATAGTGCACGTCGACAAGGAGGCGAGATGCGTTTTGTTTGGGTCCTTTAAAGGCGCCACTAGTTTGGCCCTCAAAAGAAGACGCTCAAAATAACTTAAAATAGTCAGCGCAGGTGGGCACCAGATGTCTTGCGACCCCCGTTTAATGCTCGAAAACTTTACATATTTTAAATGGGGTTCATTTTAAATAAAATTGAATGTTAAAATAAACCAATGTTAGCGGTTAATTAACAGTATATTGTATTCTTAATACATAAATACATTGTCTTACAATAGTTATTTTTATGGTTAATTAGTAATGTCCACAGCCCAGCAAACAGTAATTTGGTGAATTTAATTAAAACTGCTTGCAAGATGACAACTCTCTGAATGCTAAATAAGCAACGCAATATTCATTGACTTTTAACATATTTATTTGCCGAGTACAGTAACTCCAGACATGACGAGCGGTGGTGCATGAGGCGCGTTGTGTTGGTGAGCGACATCAAAATCTCAATAATCTCAGTTTAACACGTAGTAGTAGTAAGTAGGCTTTCGCGACCAATATCATCCATTATAGATGCTTTTTTGGGTTAGATCGCGTAAATCTATAAATGTTGTGTCGTTAAACCCGCCACCACCCGACACAGCCAACTAGTAAGGGTTGTCACGTAAACAGAACGTGGCCAATTCGTCACTAGTACAGCACTAGTGTATAGTGTAGTATACTAGTACAGCACTAGTGTATAGTGTAGTGTATAGTGTAGTATACTAGTACAGCACTAGTGTATAGTGTAGTATACTAGTACAGCACTAGTGTATAGTGTAGTGTATAGTGTAGTATACTAGTACAGCACTAGTGTATAGTGTAATGTATAGTGTAGTATACTAGTACAGCACTAGTGTATAGTGTAGCATACTAGTACAGCACTAGTGTATATTGTAGTGTACAAATACAGTACTAGTGTATAGTGTAGTGTACTAGTACAACACTAGTGTATAGTGTAGTGTACTAGTACAACACTAGTGTATAGTGTAGTATACTAGTACAGCACTAGTGTATAGTGTAGTGTATAGTGTAGTATACTAGTACAGCACTAGTGTATAGTGTAGTATACTAGTACAGCACTAGTGTATAGTGTAGTATACTAGTACAGCACTAGTGTATAGTGTAGTATACTAGTACAGCACTAGTGTATAGTGTAGTATACTAGTACAGCACTAGTGTATAGTGTAGTGTATAGTGTAGTATACTAGTACAGCACTAGTGTATAGTGTAGTGTATAGTGTAGTATACGAGTGCAGCACTACACCGGTTGTGTGTTGGAGAGCCAAGCCACAACATTTACATTGGAAGATATCATTTCACGACATAGCGATTTTGCACAACTGTGTAAAAAAAAGCCCATCGTGATCCAGTAATTTGGACGGTGCTAGGGAATGTGTAGGAGCTGGACCATGAGAGCAGGAGGCAGACAAGATAAGACTCAAACTAAACTTGTTATTTGACCAGGTAAGGCCCCAGTGAGCCTTGTAGCTCTCTTGATCAGAAGCGACCTGGCAACCACAAACGATAGCTCAACGGAGTGAGCTCTGTGTCTGTGTTGTCTCTCTCTGTGTGTCTATGTTGTGTCTCTGTGTCTCTGTGTTGTCTCTGTGTGTCTATGTTGTGTGTCTCTCTCTGTGTTGACTCTGTGTGTCTGTGTTGTCTCTCTCTGTGGGTCTATGTTGTGTGTCTCTCTCTGTGTCTGTGTTGTCTCTGTGTGTCTATGTTGTGTGTCTCTGTGTTGTCTCTCTCTGTGTGTCTATGTTGTGTGTCTCTCTGTGTGTCTCTGTGTTGTCTCTCTGTGTCTTTTGTGTCTCTCTCTGTGTTGTCTCTCTCAGCATGTGTGTCTGTGTGTCTCCGTGTCTGTGTTTTGTCTGTCTCTCAAATTTAGTTCTACCTGATGACGGTTGTTTGTGTTGCAATAGAAACGTCGTATTCTATTATTTAATTACATTTCTTTCTACGTGACTTTACCGAAAGAACCAAAGAGTAATCCAAATATACAGCAGGCGCCAGGGTCGGGATCGAACCACACGACCAGCTGCATTGTAGGCGAGGTAGTTAACATCTCCTAACCACCACGGCGCCCCTAAAAATAAGCAAGGGAGGATAACGTTTTCTTCCTGAGGGCCAAATAGGCTTAGCACAGCCCTGGCACGGTTTGGTTAGAGTGGAAACGAGGAATGAGGTACCAGAGTCCCGTTCCTATTTTTTATAAAACCACCTTTTCAGAGATCCCTGAGTTTTAATCTTCCACGAAGCGCACGGTCCACCCTAAACCGCATCCACTGCACAAACCGTGGCAGCAGATGCCGATACCCTGATGGTGCACAGAACAAGACCGATAACGACGCAATGGCCGATCCACAAATGCGAGGGAGATATTTACAGCGATACACTCCACTGCTCCTGGCACCGTTGCCTCGGCTGACCACCTGATTGTGACTTTGCAGTTGTTGCTCTGCATGTCAGACTGTCAGGGTGCAAAAAAAGAAGTTCAAACATAGGAAGAGAAATGGGAAGTCAGATTTCACAGTGCGTAGGGCGGGGGATATCTTTTGCGGAATTTAACCGAGGAGGGTCCAGTGAAGGCTCGTTGCGATCACAGTAATCTATGGATCTATGGCATTGGTTGCCAAATCGTGGCTCCCGGGCAGTACAAGTGTTGCTTGATTGAGACTCGGCAAAAAAGTTGTCTACTTTTCATTACTCATTGTCCTGCATTTCCATGAACTCACAGTGCTGTATTTTCAGACTCTCAACTCAATCGTCCACCAAGGTTGATCTCGCGGTGCCGCTACGCAGGACCACGAGTGCCAATGAGGCCTCGGTGTACCAAGTCCCACCACTCCTCCACTCCTCAAGTCTGTTGGCCATCGCTGCGCCGAGACTCTTCGACGCCCTCGGAGGACCACCACCACTCAGGTTTCACCCACAGCGGAAAGTCCAGCGCGGGGATTGCGTCCGAGAGGGGAAGGTTACCTCCGCCGCCGGAAGGCAGTGTGGTGCGCACCTCTCTCGCTTCCAGCGCGCCCCAGGCGCTCGACTCGTTCCTGCGCCGTTCGCGTCGCGTCAGCGGACATGAGTGCGCGGCGTCTTCGACGAGCACGAATGTGCAAGAGCGAGCGTGCGCAGAGACGTACGGTAGATCGGCATCCCAGGACGTCGACGAGGATCTCTACGAGGAGGTGCAGCTCGCACCGTTGATCAGCCGCAGCAGCTCCTTCGTGATGAGGGATACGTCGCCATCTATTGCCCGGTCGCAGTCGCTGGAGAGACTGCGCGAGATGATGGACTCCTTCGATAACGTCGGCAAGATGAAGAGGTACTTTGAGCGGCGGAGCGAGAGCGTCGCCAATGCAGAACGCCGGCAACACCAGTGTGATGACCGTGACCTACATCGTGATCGCCACCGCCGCCACCACTACGGATGTCATCAACATCAATTGGATGATGATTGCAGTGGCGGAGATCCCTCCGCTTCTGCGGACTCGTCCAGCCTATCATCATTCAGCGACGTTTATGGAAAAGGCTCAACGCGTAGCGAGCAGCGCCGCCGCAGCAGGGGCGTCGCAGGGGCCGACTCGCCCGTGGAGGAGAGGTCGTTGAAGTCACCGTACTTCCTGGGGGGTGAGGACAACTCTCCTGCACGATGGGACCCTGAACTAGAGGGCAGGTTCACCTGGAACGCGAGAGAGGTAGTCACCGCAGTGGAAACGTCACCGCTGTTGCTTCCATGAGTTTTATCTCTGTGCATTACAATGCACTCAACACACATATACAGTCATCTCGCGATTATCCTGAGTATTGGGTTGGGAGGGTTGTCCCAGATAAAACAATCGTTTTTATTCTTGGTTCTTTCGGTAAAGTCACGAAAGAACCAATAATATGAATCCCTGCAGTCACGAAAGCTTTAAATCAAAATTTACAATCGTTTTTGTTTAAGTAATTGGTTTAATTGCCAACATATCTGCGGTCACGTCAGCACTGAGTCACTGACCCTCGATGAGTGAGGAGCAGCTAAGTATGGGTTAATCTGCAACCTGGATAATCTGCCTATGAACGGATAATCCAGAATCAACTATATCCAGAATTATTCTCTTAATAATGACAGTGATCAATCAGGAGTAAAAGAAAGCTCTTCGTTACTGAACGTGCAATGCATTCATTCACTTATTTTTATGCTTTCATTCACCTCCCCCCTTGATTCGCCACTCCCCCACTCTATGCACGACTCTGTTCAACCACAGCCCATCTGTTAATGAAAACAATTAGTTTCATTCACTCGTCTGCAAGCGCTTGATTCCTCAAATGGAAATACCTAGATGCCTATCGGAGCGAAGTACGTGTATATTTTGCCGACATATATTGCAAGTAGGTTGGGTGCTTATTGGTAAAGACAATAACATAGATGGTGCAAAATTTGTGTGTGTGCAAATGTTAAAGTTCTTTGACAGTTGAAATGGACCCCAAGCGCGATTCTTAATCCCATGCTTTGTGGACAGTTACACGATTTGGGACGCACATTGCAGACACTTTGAGGGTGTGTGTGATCACGAGAGCTCATTACGAAGTGTCTATTCGCTTGTGCATAGTGCATCAACAAATTGGGACTGTGTCCACTTTTCTTGATAAACGGAGGAATGCCCATAAAATATTCGCGGTGATGTCGGGCGTATTCATATGAACTCTGGGGTGGCGATGGTGCAATGTATTTTCTTGTATCTGTTAAACCACTGATGCATTACATACGTAAGCCATATTTTCAAAAACTATAGATAATTACCTTTAATATGCCACCTTATATGTGTCTTTATGATGATTTTAATTTTTTTACAATGAGGTCGACTAATTTACATGCTTGGTTAATTACATTTACAGACATCCCCAGATGAATTCCTGCAGTTCAGGCCCCATGACCCTGTCTCTTCTGGGCCGAAAGGGTCGAAGGGCAATCGCTGTTCAACCTTACAAGACAGCGGGCCGCACAGAGACAGCTCACCAGCTCGCTGCTCCCCCAGGAGAGGCAGAAGTTCGAGCAGACGAGATGAGCGTCACGGCTGCTCAAGCAAGAAATTTGACATTAGATCTGAGGTTGGCACTTTTACTTTGATTGTTTGCTTAGGAAAAGCCATGCTGAGTCTCAAGACTCGTTTCCAGGAGAGTCCACTCCAGTATTTTTTTTTAGTCGGGGGCGATGATTGCTATGTATAATCCCAATTGAAATTTTTTACAGGTAATTTTACAAATTTGCACCATGACGCCGGCACACAATGGCCTGCCCTCACGAATGGCATCACGGCATCATTAACTTCCGCTGTGCAGCAGACAGCGTGTGTTGTCTATGGTTAGCACACATCGCAATAGTAACAACCAATACTAGCCGCTGGATCCGAACGGTGAACCTCTGCAACGAGCGCTGAAAATCCTAGCACCCGGCCATGTTACCGCCCAAGGTGGGAGATGCGAGCAGGGGACACAGCAGCAGTGGCCGTGGGGGAGTTGCAGCCAAGTCAAGACAGCTATAGATAACGCATTACAGTAAAACCTTGGATTGCGAGCATAATTCATTCCGGAAACGTGTTTGTAACCCAAAGCACTCGTATATCAAAGCACTCGTATATCAATTGTGATCACGTGATGCTCGGCAGACAAAGCTAATACGTACTGCTTGTATTGCAAGACCTCGTTCGTTTATCAAATTAATTTTTATTTACAATTTTTGCTCGTCTTACAAAACACTCGCAGACCAAGTTACTCGCAATCCAAGGTTTTACTGTATTGGCAATAATATATGTAAGCAGATTTACCTTCTGTGTCTGCACTGCAAGATGTGTCAGTACGTCAGCCTATCAGCTTTCCAGACCAATATCATCCAGCAGCATTTATTTAAGCAGGCAAACTCTAGAACTGGTATCAACTTCTCTGGGTCTCCTCATCAGAGTCAAGCTTGTGAAACAAATGCTGCTGCTTAATATTGGTCTGGAATGCCAGTAAGCCAATGACTGCAAACGTTGCATTTGTATGTGGAGGCACGGAACATGAGTTATGCTTATACTGTACAGTACATGGAATAGCTCCTGTTTGTCGTGTACTTGGTTACATTTTCAGACCTCACTGGAGGAACCGGTGCGACTGAACCGTACAACCAGCATGGGAAGGAAGGGATGTCTCCGTGTAACCCTGCAGCGTAGCGAGTCGGAGGACAACATCGTTTCAGCTCAGAGCTTAAACCAAAAACTGGGCAGTTTATCGGAGGTAAGCATCACAGTCAACTCCTGATTATCCGTAAAACAGAGGCGGGTCGGGGCGGATGGTCTGGATAAAAGTAAAACGCGGATAATGCAAATCGTATGGAAAATAGGCTTGAAAACGCATTTATTGTTTACTTGAGGGATGTTGCCATATTGGGGTAATGGTCAGCACACTGGACTTGCAATCCAGAGGTCATTGGTTTGACCTCCCGGCATGGCGGTTGAAACAATAGGGAAAGTTTCTCATATACCCCCAACTCTGGCCATCGAGCAGTATAAATGTGTACACCACAGTCGATTGGCAGACTGCGTGTGGTAGGGCAAAGTGTGGTATTCCCACCTCTTCCAAGACATTTGGTCAGCATGGAAGAGGAGGCCAAAAGTACCCTCCAGAGGGGCTTTCTAGGACTCCCTCTAGTGGAGACCCTTCCGCTAGCAGTCGCGTGAGCAAGCAATTGCAGGGCTGCATCTTTATATTTTAATAATATAAGTGAACCAGTTTGCACGTAGTCAATCCGCGGATAATCGAGAGTCAACTGTACTGTGATTGTGGGAACCAAGCAAGGGCAGCAGCAGTAGCAGTGAGGCGCTGGGCTGTGTTTTAAGTTCTTAGAGAGGACTGAGAAGCAGCAACCCTTGATGCAGCCCTATTGTGGGTGGTACACAACATGGTCAAAGTTAAACTGCTAACCAAATGCTCAATGCTAAACATAATTAGTAATGCTACGATCTGCCCGTGTCTTCTATCGCGCTTTCTGCTCTAGTTCTCACTCCCTGTGTGTATGAGGAGACCCTAGACACTATTTGGTTATGGGATACTGATGGATTTTGACGAAAATTCGCCACTGGCGTTAAATATTGCATCAATATTGTTTGACGTGACAATAAGAATTTAGACGGCGGGGGGGGGGGGGGTATATGCTGAACTTCTTTTGCACCATACATAGCCAACCGTGGTAATCCGAAGTGTGGTGTGAGCGGTAGAGCCATGAGTGTGGAGGGGGGGTGGCCCTCAGCCCTCTCCAGCCCTCCCCCCAACGGGGCTGGCGGGCTGAGTCCTAATCGCTTTCTTGATTCTGTTTAACAGGTGTTCCTACAGGAACACAGGAAGTTCAGGCCTCTTCGAGCTACGTCCAGGAAGAAAGAGTATCTCTCCTCAACCTCGCAAGACAGCGAGTCAGACCATAATGCTCGACTGGCTCGCCGCTCTCCCAGGATGGGACAAGGTTTCACGAGGCACACCGAGACCCACGGGCATGGAGCGAAACGCTCAAGGAAGCTCGAGAGTGGATCTGAAGTACGGGGTGGAGGCTGTTGAGTAGCGGGTTTTTGCAGTGGTGGTGAGACACTGCTGGTTCCCATTGTCGTCAAGTGCTTAACGTTCTTCCGTATAATGAATGTTAGGTCGGGTATACGAATGTATAAAATGACAGTTTACACCATGCACAATTCATTGCTAGTCATGTCAGTAGAGTTGTCACCTGGGAGGCATTAAAAGGCAGGACATGTATGTATGTTGAACCTCTTTCGTACCGTACATAACCAACCGTGCTAATCAGAGGTGTGACATGTCATGGTAATAGGAATATCTCACAATACTCGGAGAGGGGAGATCTAAATGTAAATGTATTATCTTGAGTGGTGTATTATTACACAACTGACTTATTGATTCATGTTACCAGAACAGCCACTTCAAAAAGAGGATGATCATGGGAACACTAGGAGAGGTGGCAACCCTACAAGGCAGATATGTGATGCTTGGATATGTGATATTGTAGCACAGACAAATCTGTATTTACTGTTCCCCAGGCTAGGGCTTCCTCACTGGAGAGACTCACCTCTCGGCTGAAATTACGGGACAGGGTGAACCGACTTGCCACCACGGCATTCGACGGAAAAATCCAAACCGAGGAGGCTGACGTTTCCTGGCAGCGTCCGTGGGAGCGGTACAAGCAGAAGCACCAGCAGGGCCAACAGGAGCATCAGCGGCGCAAGCAGGAAGAGCGTGTCTCGCGGCATCTTTCCCGGGACACACCATGGATGTCCGTTGCCTCTCTGCCCTGTGATCAGCACCTGGCTTCCAGGCGTATAGGCCATGGTCAGGCGAAGGACCTCGTCTTGGGCCGGAGACACAGGGATCATTACTAGGGCTAGTGATACCAGAAAACGAGTCTAGGCGAAGGTTCAAAGCCGAGTTATTGGCGATTGTGAGGTGGCGAGACCGACCGTTGTGTCGGAGAGTTCTCAGTTCATCTCAGTGGCGGGAAAAGTGTTAATATGTTATTGGTGATTCAAATTGGTGATAAAGTTTGTTTGCATCATCAAAATTGCTTGATCTCATCAGATATCTGAAGCTTTGCACAGTGGAACCTGGATATTGTTTGGAAGGGTGACTTCCATATGTACAACAGGTTATTAATGGCTGCTGCGGAGCTATGTGGTGGGCAATGCTAGAAAATATATTGTAATACTGTATGTCTATGTTCCCATATCTATCCTTCCCACCTTCACCAACCCGTACTGACCAGCGTGAAGTATGCTTAAATAACCCCCATTACCTACACGGCATGGGGTGGCCCTCATGCAACACGTGATTAATGCGGTCAAGTGAAAACCATCAGGCACGTGTCACCGATGACTGCCCGCGCATTCTGGTGGGAGAAGTGGTCTCCACTCAAATGCCACAGGGAATATTTTTTTTTACATAAAACCTAGAATGGTGCGTAAGTGGAAAATAATGCCACGTTAGTGATTGGTTTCCAACAAATGTCGGCCGGTGTATTGTATCATCACCTCGTATTGACACAACACCTTCCCATGCGGTACCGTAGACCACGTGGTGCCCTGTGACAGGGGACGCCCAGTGGCAGCTGTCCCTGTGAGGTGAAAGCAGCACTGGTCAGCGAGTGTGCATTTTGCCTACGAGTGTGGAGCGATGTTGTCGCGTGGCTTCCCAATTAACCACAACAAATTTTGGAGTGTATTATGAAATCAGTCAACATTGGTCCTTGACGCCGGCACACATCGCCTAATCTTTGTCGAATAACCTCCAGAGGACGTTGCACTGAAGCACACAGCAACGTCGTGATTGGTCAATAAACCGGCAGTATATGCTTAGCTCTTTCGGGAAAGTCACGTTGAAGGGAAACAATAAAATAATAAAATATATATAAAACAATAAAAATTCTCACGACGTTTCCCTTCAACGTGACTTTGCCGAAAGAGCTAAGAATATTAATTACTGCAGTCACGAAAGCTTTAAATCAAAATTTAAACCGGCAGTATTAACTAGGGATGGGGGCCGCTGGCCGCGAACAGCAAACCTCTGCATCAAGCGGGGAAATGCGGCCCCTGCTGGTCAATGGCAAGAAATATACTATTTTAACCACACTACTAAAAGCCATACCTCAATAAACCACGGCTTACAATGTTAAAGCCACCTGTCTGGAGTAACGAGTTACGCGTTAACATTGTTTACATAATTAAGCAATTAATCCCGCGTGTAATGTCAAGTTGAACCCCGTTTTAATTGTACGTGCCAACAATGCCCTTTTGTCAATCCACCTTTGTGCGAGTGCCTCCCGCGTGAACTTGCGGGTGGCCACGCTTCTGCACCACGCTGACCCGTTGCGGGTTGAATGCAAGGAAGCAAATAAACTTGGGGGGTGGGGGTGGGGAGCATAGTAGGGTACAATGGACTACCCTCTACTGCAGTACTATAGAGTGACTCTCGTGTCCCGTCTGGAATACTGCTGCCGATGCCGTGGTGCAGTCGGCGCGCTGGACTTGCAATACCGGTTCGATTCGATCTCCAGGCGCGGCGGCAGTCGACGTCACTGCTGCACGTGACCTACACACGCACGCTACTCCGATCTCTGTCCACCCAGCGGTGTCAAGGGGCCGTCCATAAATGACGTCACGCACGTGGGGGGGAAGGGGTTTGAGAAATTTGACGTCACATCAAAATGCGCAACTTTAAATAAATATAGACAGCACGTTCTACTTAATTAAAAAAATACTTTTTAATAAAAAAAATTTCTACAACATCAGAGTGCAGCGCCACATTAAATACGCACTACAATGACAATAGTTTAAAGCGATTTGAAGCATGTTTTATTTTGGGGGGGGGGGTCTGACTTTTTGTGACGCCTTGTGACGAGAGTAGGGGGGGGGTCAAAAATCGCGTGACGTCATTTATGGACGGCCCCCAATGGGGGGGGGGGGGGCGCTTGTCAGGGCAATGCGTGTGTTGGGGGTAGAGTGTGGTGGGTACCCCCCCCCCTTCGCCGCCCACATCTTACAAGTTACTTGACCAACGTGGAAGAGTGGGGGGCAGATATCCCCCGCTTCAGAGGCCTATCTCTAAAACGCCATTGCAGGGCTGCGCCTTTACCTCTCGCACTGTAGACCATTATAATATTACCGTAAGTATTATTCTTGTTGTTGTTATCTATATAATTACTCGTCTAATGTGTTACGGTGGAAGTTTGACCGTGACGACCTTGTTCAATGTTCGTTTTTTAAAACCGTTGGAAGCTTAAATTTTGATTTAAAGCTTTCGTGACTGCAGTAATTCATATTCTTAGCTCTTTCGGTAAAGTCACGTTGAAGGGAAATAATAAAATATATTGTTTTATATAAACAATAAAATATATTGTTTTATATATATTTTATTGTTTCATATATATTTTATTATTTTATTGTTTCCCTTCAACGTGACTTTACCGAAAGAGCTAAGAATACGTTAGAAGCTTCTCTCGCAAACCACGCAGTTTGAGGCGTTTTAATTTAAGATCGTGAAGCTTTGGTGACCGCAGGGAATCCGTACACTTTGTTTATTTTCGGTAAAAGTCACGGTAGTTAGAAATAAAATTAATAGAGAAACACGAAGCAACCCGTCTTCAGGTGCGAAACGAACAGCGGAGTTTTAATTTTGGTACGATACAAATAAACGCCACCGTTCATTGCCGCGTTGAACAATCGTATTAAATACAGGTGCGGGCATTCTTGTTGTTGTTGTTAAAAAATAAACGACAGCTTTCGATGTCTTTCGTGAGCGGACTGTTAAAGGGATAAGCGATCTGAGGAAGAGCGATCCATGGCCGCTTCGTTAAAGTCCTCGAAGCGCGGCAACGTTAAAGACCCGGCTGGAAGACAAAGGAAGTTTGTTATGAACCAGGTAAACAACTCTTGTTGGTATTATTGTTGATGTATGTTAATTCTTACCAAGTTTGTGTTTCAAATGTAACGCGGCAAGGACACACGCCGTATTTTTTTTAACACGTAGGCTTTCGCGAACTAATAATATCCATAATACTGTATAAGGTTTGAGGTTTTTCGTGACTGCAGTGATCCATCATACTCTTTCGGTAAAGTCACGTAGATAAAAAAATGTAAAGTTAATCAAATCACGACGTTTCGAAGGCATCAGGTGTAACACAGCAAAATTACTATATCTTGCTGCGTAATTACTTTATTTTGCTGTGTAATTACTTTATTTTGCTGTGTAATGACTTTATTTTGCTGTGTAATTACTTTATTTTTCTGAGTAATTACTTTATTTTGCTGTGTAATTACTTTATTTTGCTGTGTAATTACTTTATTTTGCTGTGTAATTACTTTATTTTGCTGTGTAATTACTTTATTTAGCTGTGTAATTTATTTTTGCTGTGCAATTACTTTATTTTGCTGTGCAATTACTTTGTTTTGCTGTGTAATTACTTTATTTTGCTGTGTAATTAATTTTGCTGTGTAATTACATTATTTTGCTGTATAATTACTTTATTTTGCTGTGTAATTACTTTATTTTGCTGTGTAATTACTTTATTTTGCTGTGTAATTACTTTATTTTGCTGTGTAATTACTTTGTTTTGCTGTGTAATTACTTTGTTTTACTGTGTAATTACTTTATTTTGCTGTGTAATTACTTTATTTTGCTGTGTAATTACTTTATTTTGCTGTGTAATTACTTTATTTTGCTGTGTAATTACTTTGTTTTGCTGTGTAATTACTTTATATTGCTGTGTAATTACTTTATTTTGCTGTGTAATTACTTTATTTTGCTGTGTAATTACTTTATTTTGCTGTGTAATTACTTTATTTTGCTGTGTAATTACTTTATTTTGCTGTGTAATTACTTTATATTGCTGTGTAATTACTTTATTTTGCTGTGTAATTACTTTATTTTGCTGTGTAATTACTTTATTTAGCTGTGTAATTTATTTTGCTGTGTAATTACTTTGTTTTGCTGTGTAATTACTTTATATTGCTGTGTAATTACTTTATTTTGCTGTGTAATGACTTTATTTTGCTGTGTAATTACTTTATTTTGCTGTGTAATTTATTTAGCTGTGTAATTTATTTTGCTGTGTAATTACTTTCTTTTGCTGTGTAATTACTTTCTTTTGCTGTGTAATTACTTTATTTTGCTGTGTAATTACTTTATTTTGCTGTGTAATTACTTTATTTTGCTGTGTAATTACTTTATTTTGCTGTGTAATTACTTTATTTTGCTGTGTAATTTTGTTGTGCTAGTTACACCTGATGACGGAAGTTTGTGTTGCCTCCGAAACGTCGTGATTTTAATAACTTTCTTTTTTATTTCTACCTATGTGACTTTACCGAAAGAACCAACGAGTATACTGTATAGGTGTTTTGGGTTCCATCGCGTGTATATAAAGTGTCCTTAAACCATCGTCCTCAAGATGTAACTGTGTATTTACTCTCCAACACACCGGTTAGTGCTGTACTAGTAACAAATTGACACGTGTTGGTTACGTTACAAACCTTACTAATTGGCTGTGTCGGGTGGTGGCGGGTTTAACGACACACATTTACGCGATCTCACCCCCCCCCCAAAAACCCCTATATTATGAATGCCGTCTTTATAATAGTACTGTTCATTGCCTTTGCGATGCAACCATCAGTCGAGCTTCGGCACACGGAGCTGATTGATTTAATCAATTCGTCCTCTGGTGCTGCAAGCCCATTGGGACAGCTCCCGATTAATTATCTCAAACAGTCGATTTGATGTCTCTAGCCTACGATCTCGAATCAAAGTGTTGCTCTTCTTGTCTCAGCGTAAATGTTTACTTTTTGGCACACGTATCTACTGTTTTATGTTTATGATCATATGTCTCTTACGGTTCTTTATAAATACAAATTGCATTGTGTAGCGCACGGACTCTCTGGGCTGATTTAAAAAAAAAACTTTTAACACGTGTGCATTTCAAGGCGATCAAGCAGAGCGAGGAGGCGTTTACGCACACCGCGGACGCAGCGGCGGTGAAACGCAAAGTGACCAAGAAAGCCGAATGTGCCGTGAATCCGACAATCGTGGAACCCACATCCAGCTATCAGCTGGAATCTCTCCGGCGTTTCAGAGAAGACCCCGTCACAAGTAGAATCGATAGCATCCTGTCGGTGTGTGTGTATGAGTGGGGGGCTGTGTGTGTATATGTGACATGGATCGTTGCGAAATGCATAGCGGTGGTTTACTGAAAGTGGTCACAGTGTTCGTGTCACAATTCTGGCTGTCGCCTGATGAGGCTGGTTGCTGTAACCACCAGCGAAACTTCGTACTCAGATTGTAAATGTTCCGGGTTTACTCTCCAAACACACCGGTGTGCTGTACTCGTAACTAATTGGCATGTTTTGTTTACGTGACAAATCATACTAGTCGGGTGGTGGTTGGTTTTACGATACATTAATATTTCCGAGATCTAACCCAAAACACCTCTTATGGATTGTTTCGAGTATTGTATGAAAATTGTGGGTTTAAAAACATATACTGTATAATAATTTAATTGGCGGTCATCATCCTCATGAGCTAAGATATTAGGATGAGGTTGCTGCTATGCTTTTCTGTTGCCATTTTTCAGCGAGGCAAATGTCCTTGCATTGTAGATACATTTTGGATAACAGAAAGACTATAACCCTGCAGGTTATAGGAATATTCTCGGATTGGGCCAGGCCAACGATTAAAATGAGTTTCACCGTGTACAATGTTTGAACACAATCGCACCTCACGATGCTTTAAAGAGTGTGGAAAAACTAACAGGGAATGGTAAGGTTTGAGATCGGTGGCATGGGTTACATCATGTGATTTATAAGTAACTAGTTGACATGAATATACTGCAGCTGTTCAGCCTTTGCTTTGGCACTGCTCACGCTTGCATATGATCCACTCTGTTTCAGAATAAGTTGGCTGATGTAGAGTATGATTCAGAGGTGTGTCGCTCCCTCATTGTGACACTTACGGATGACATCTTGGCGATGGTGAAACAGTTTGAGTTTGACCGCTACAAGTTCATTGTCAGTATGTATATTGGTGAGAAGAAAAAACACGATGTTCTGGTAAGGACCCTCGTTGTTTTTTTTAAATAAGTGAATGATGAATGAGCTGAACGTTAAGAAATATAACATATGTAAATTAACGAGTGATGTATTTTTCAGATGCTCATTCTTTCAATGTTGACCTTCCTGTGAACGTCCTAGGATCACAGTGAATACATAACACACAGTACCACTAATACTGCTGTACTCTGGAGGTTTTTCCATTTTTGCTGTGCGGCTCTGATGGGTTTTTGGGGTTGTACCAAATACTGGGAATATGTTTTCCTATTATATTTTGGTACTGGCAAAGGATGTCCCATGATGTACCAAATACTGTTCAGTACGGTATCCGACGTTTCTCACCACGTGCTGAGAGCTCCTTCAGAGGGACAAAATTGGGCAGCTCACTGATTCGCCAGCATCAATAATTGACAATAGAAAGATCATCAAATAAGTTCCTGAAGAAGCTCCCAGACCATGGAGAGAAACGTCGGACACCATATTGAACAACACGCGGTAAAGCCCGAATACACATCGCAGAGCTAAACATACTCATTAAACTACAATTTAACGTATATGTTTTGTTAAGATTTATCCGAGTACTTGAACTGTAATAAAATATGGTACAACAGTCAACTGGGAATTTTGGTATTTTGGAAAGATGAATCATCCTAGAAATGCATATGACTCATACAGTAATGTTAGTAATGTAACGTGATTTTATGAGTCAATTTAATTCGAGTACAAAAATTATATTTTTTAAATGTGATATCGCTGTAGGCTTAACACAATTATTTATGAGCGTCTTATTCCCTTGAAAATTTTTACCTTTATTCAAAAATAATTGGTCGTCACTCCTGGTACTGAACAGTATTATACATGCTAGATAACATTTAAAGAGGAAAATTACACAGTTTGTTTTTAAATGCAATACTTTAATCTTTGGTTTTATTGTTTAAATCATCAATATGACTGTTGAGGCAGCGTAGAGGTCAGAGCGCTTGTCAGGCCACCTTGGAGATTCGAGGTTTGAATCCAGGGACCAGCCTGTGATTAGAACTGACGTCTTGGGTATATATATATTCTTGGTTCTTTCGGTAAAGTCACGTAGAAGGGAAACAATAAAATAATAAAAATATAAAACAATAAAATTCTCACGACGTTTCGATTGCAACACAAGCAATCATCATCAGGTGTGAAAACCACAACGAGAAAATGTTCACACCTGATGATGATTGCTTGTGTTGCAGTCGAAACGTCGTGAGAATTTTATTGTTTTATATTTTTATTATTTTGTTTCCCTTCTACGTGACTTTACCGAAAGAACCAAGAATATGAATCCCTGCAGTCACGAAAGCTTTAAATCAAAGTCTTGGGTATAGTTACAGTGAAACCTTGGATTGCGAGCATAATTCGTTCCGGAAATGTGCTCGTAATCCAAAGCACCCGTATATCAAAGTGAATTTCCCCATAAGAAATAATGGAAACTCAGATGATTCGTTCCACAACCCAAAAATACTATATTCATATAAAAATGATTAATACAAAATACCTTTTTATATTTTTATTTAATATAAAGTAATCAAATTTATTCATTACATTTAATCGTGGCTGGTGTAAGGGAGACGAGAGAGGAGGGTTATTGTGTAGGACGACTTTCACTTGCAGTACAGTTACTAAAGAAGTCACTACACTTGGACACAAAATAAAAAAATGCTTTACACACACACACGTGGTCACAACACTATAGTACTATAGTAAACAGTATACACTCGAACGGATGTTGACTATAAGAGTGAGGCACGCCGACTGAGACCGAGCATGGGAGGTGATTACCCACAATCCCGCAGAGAGAGAGAGAGAAGAACCATTGGCTCAGTTGTGATCACGTGACGCTCGGCAGACAAAGTGTATCTATACACGTACTGCTCGTATTGCAAGACATAGCTCATTTATCAAATTAATATTTAAAAATGCTGCTCGTCTTGCAAAACACTCGCAGACCAAGTTACTCACAATCCAAGGTTTCACTGTACTTAGTTGATGGTTTCAGCCAGGTCACCAATGACTCCTAAAAAAAACCAGTCACATTAAATTGTATTCTTCACTTAATTTGGATACTTTCCAGGTCGGAGAATAAAATATTGGTTTTACTGTTGTGCACCAAGCATTACTCTCATATGCAGAATGGGTGGAAAAGTCATATTTTCTACTGTATGGATCAACCCTAACTTCCATGCGCCAAACATTCTTCTCATATGCAGAGTGGGTGGGAAAGGCTTGTTTTCGCCTGTGGATGAAAAGATCACTTGGAGGGATCTCAGATTCAGTTCTGTGATATCCACATCCGTAGGCCGTTCGCTGACACAATAATCATTGGGATAGGTCTGAGGGAAAAATGACAATAAAATTATATTAACGTGCCTTTACTTATTAACGCTCGTCTTTTTTTTGCAGATTGTAAGCCAAGGGCTGTGGGACATTGAAAGAGATGGCTGGGCCTCGGCCTCGTTTGAGAACTACAGCGTCTATGCCACTGCATCCGTATACGCCTTATATGTTGCGTAGCATAAACATAGTCTGACAATTTAAAACATTAACTTCATTAGCTTTCCGCAGGTGTTATTAACCGTTACTAAAATGCGTCTTATCTGCAAGTAAAAGCTAACATTCACGAATTTCAAGAATTGTATTTTAAATTTGTTGTTCATGGTATGACGGTACTCTGCAGAGTTTAATGGCAGTTCCTTATCTCTGAGATGATTTCTGGTTGTATCACAGTTTGTTCGCCATGATGTCAGATCTTCGCTCTCCCATGTGCTAGGAGCTTCTTGGATGCCTCAAGTTCATTCACAGGACGCCCGTGAAATAGAGCCTAGCAGCTTGCGCCCTTGCCGCTGAAATAAATCAAACCTAAAATCGCAGCAAACGCAGAGCGAAATATCTGGTATCACGGGGTACATTAAGCGGTACATACAGAAAACAAATCGGAGAGCGATTGTTTTTTGTAGTCATTAAAATGCATTACTTGACCACGTTGCTGTAATAAGTATCATACATCATTTTAATTCACAGTTTTGGCCATGAGCCTTCATTGTCAAGTGAACAATTATATATCTCTCTCGCAGCCAGGACATAACGTAATTGTATATCTCTCGCAGCCAGAGAGAACTACAGTACGACTGTCAATGTAGGAATTATAGGCGCAATTCACACGGTCATTTACAAATAAAATGTTTTTTTCTGACTCGGGCGTCTGTCTGCATGGGGTTTGTACGTTCTCCCCCTATTCTGCATGGGGTTTGTCAGGTTTCTCTGGTTTCCTCCGATTGACCAAACAAAAATACAATGGGATTGATATTGGCCACACATTCTAATGCGTAAACTTTTCCTGCAGATGTCTCAGTTGGTATTACACGTAGCAAGATCGCCCCGTACTCAGGATATTTTTCAGGACCCTCCTGATAAGGAGCATTGAGACTCGGTGAGGCTTTCCTGGGTCGACGAGCTTAATGTAGCAATAATAATGAAAGGTGTCCAGGGGTTCTTGGTTGTAAGTTAGGGCATCTGTAACCAGGTCAATCTGGCTGTTTAGCAGCAGCGGGCAGGGTGAGACTCGGTGTGTGAGGCTTTAGTTTGTGACAGGACAGAACACACGAGAGTGTGCACACACAACACAGCGAGGACACAGCCAGAGAACGCAGACCAGAGGACAAGCAGAGAAGAAGAGACAGACCTGGAGATAGAGACTAAGACCCCCCTCGGATAGCCTTCACAGACTGTGGGTGCAAGTGCTGTTAGCGAGCACATATCAAGGCCGACACGAGGGCGTGGATGGCAACACCGCTCCCAACAACAAAGTGTGCTCTGAATATGAATGTATGCTATGAAGAAGAGCCATTGCCCGAAACGTCGGATATTATATATATGTATTTTACATTTGAAGCTACATAGTGTGATTGACAGAACGATGTCAACCCATACGGTTTACCTGTATTCTTGTACAGGGAAATTGAGTTTTCAGGTCCATACGGCGTACAGCCGTTTCAATACGTGCAACACATTTTTTTGTCTATTTGTGTTTCTCCCTTGTGATGGGACTTTGTAGGATGAACGTTGAGATTTAGAAAGGCACGGGGTGACCAATAAGGTCTGAATTGGTCTGTAATAAGGTAGGGCACTGATAAGGGGTTGACAGATATGTATATGAACAAGATCAGGGTGCTATCGTCACGTTCAGATCTTTGTGATGCCACCACCTCTCGCCCTTGAAAAATAGCTTCTTAGCTCTACGGGCTTTGCTCGGTGGGAAATTAAATCTCGCTTCGGATTCTGTTATAATCTTGTTTTACTGCAGTCACGGCCAGGCGTTGTCATTCAAGTGACATGACGTCACGCCTCTACCGTTATAACTCGACGCATTAGCCATTAACACTGCGATGGCTTTAAAAAATAAAATGGAACAGGCGACGTTTCAGGCAATACCGCCTTCTTCACGGTACATGAGAGAAGCCAGGAAGGTGGAGTGGATAAAAAAAAATGTTGGAGACACCACTTGATGTACCATGGGGGTCTGATACGAATTAAATTATATATGTAAAATAAAATCCTGCCTCACCGTATTTACAGGAGGGCCTTTACCCGAAACGTCGCCTATTCTACCACCTGCATTCATTTAAAAAAAATATTTTCACATTCTAGATTTTAAGCTTTCGTGACTGCAAGGAATCATACTCTTTGTTTTTTTTGTTTCGGTAAAGTCCCGTAGGTAAAAAAATAAAATAAAAATAAATGAAAAACAACAAAATTAAATCACGACGTTTCGGGGGCAACACAAGCTTCCTTCATCAGGTGTAAAAAAGCACAGCAAAATAACTAGAGAGAGCTATTTGTGATGATAGACTCTTACCGGTAGGAACGAAGTTGTAAACTGTGTACCAGCCTGCAATAGATTAATGTGTCCGTCCGTCCCCTTTCAATACTTTAACGAAGTGAAATCTCGTGCTGTTGGGTGTAAAATCAGCAACAGACAGGGCAGAGACTTGAAAAATTCCAATGTTCCTACCAGCCCACCCTGCAGGGACCTGTTATATAGGGTAAGAGGAGGGGGAGGAGCCAGGCAGGACGGGCGCAGCATGGGGGGGTGGGGTGGGGGGGTTTGTGGGAGGAGCCAGGAGGGTGAAGCTCCTGCTGGTGAACATCGGAGACACGGACGCGGGGGGGAGTAGCGGTTGAGGTTGAACATGGTCAATCACATCTTTCCAATGATTGCTCAATTTGAAACCATCTGCTCGGTTGAAGTTATGTCTATGTTTGTATATCTGTACGGCTTCATGGACAAATCTTTGGTGGTATCCAGACGGCTTGCAGAGTACCTTGTGTAATTGTGTAATTTTACTGTGTAATTTTACTGTGCTAAATTTTGATTTGAAGCTTTCGTGACTGCAGTAATTCATATTCTTAGCTCTTTCGGTAAAGTCACGTTGAAGGGAAACAATAAAATAAATATATAATGATAAATATAAAAATATAAATATATTATAAAATATATTTAAGATATATATTAAAAATATAAATATATTATAAAATATATATTATTTTATTGTTTCCCTTCAACGTGACTTTACCGAAAGAGCTAAGAATATGATTTACTGTGCTAGTTACACCTGATGAAGGAAGCTTGTGTTGCCCCCGAAACGTCGTGAATTAATGTAGTTGTTTTTCATTTATTTTTTATTTTATTTTTCTACCTACGTGACTTTACCGAAAAAAAAAAGAGTATAATATTTTCAGTCTAATTGCCTCGGCGCCATCAATAAAGTTAGTGAGAGGGGGGGGGGCGTGCGACGTCACCTCGCGAGCCCTGGGATTTGGCCGCCTCAGTGCTGTCGATAAAGTTGTTGAGGCGTGACGTCACGCGCTGCGCGTGCACCCCCCCACAGTGCACAGGAGCGATGTCGCGTGGGGCGAGCGATTGAATGGTCATTTGTGTGCGTTGTAAACTTTATTCCTTTATGTACAAGGGAACAACAACAACGACAACAGCTCATTGAAAACAAGGCTGATTGCTAAGGTGAGGCAACGGGCTTGTGGATTACTCGCGTGAGCGGATTTGCGACGGATCGAACTGGTAAACGTCAAAGCCCCCCATTAGTTTCTGTGCACCAGCCCGGCTCGACTTGTTTAGGCCTCGAGCGCCTTCATTCGGCTGCGAGGGATTTCCCCGATTGAAAAAAAAGCGCTTCAGCTAAGATTAAGAAGCGTCCCCACGAACCCGTGCCCCGTGTCAGCGCGCCCGTACCAATCCGATCGCACGCAGCCGCTCCGGTGTTACAAGACGCGCTCGCAACTCGTTGCCCTACAACGCAGCCGGCGAGAGAGGCGAGCGCGTCTTGTGATACGGCGCATTCGGCACTGCCACGGCCGTCTTGATTATAATACGTGGCTTTTTTTTAAGACGCCCGAGAGGATGCCCACTGCGGAGATGGAGCGATGAGATCGACTCGTTGCGCGAGCAGGTTCTAGGCGGGTAGCGTGAGAGATGGAAGCGGCTCGAGGAGGTCTTCATTCAGCAGTGGATAGAGCAAATGCTATCCATGGCTCGATGATGCTTATGATGTAGGGTGCGTGGCAGTCCTATTTGTGGTTCCACTGCTGGATGAGGCCCCTTCCCACGCAGCCGTGGGGCTCGCTTGATTTGGTCCGAGTAGATCCGTTTCATGAGTGGGAGACACAAACATACCTCCATTCTATGTTATGCTTTAATCATGAGCCCAGCAGTATGTGTTCAAGCAAGTAAACTTTAGACCAGCTTGATTAGCATTGTTGCATACGTACGGTGCGAAAGAAGTTCAACATGCATACATACATCAGAGTCGGGTAATACCGTATATATGCTGCTGTAGTTCATCATGGGCAACGGCATATATGAATTACACGAGTGTATCGGTATTTTCTTTGGAAAGCGCCTAATCAAGTTTTAACATAGCTATTTCTGTGACCAGTCGCAAGCTAATCCCTCAACTGTTGCAATGCTAAATTCTCCTGTTTGATATGTAAACTCCTTTGTCAAGGTGCCTCACTTCTCTCAACCAGCTTAAAAGACGCTGCGAATCTTAGCAGCGTTCATTGTAGCTCTGTCGTCCCGACAGGTTTGTTCCTTTCACCTGAAGAAGGCCACTTGTGTTGTGGCCGAAACGTCGTGAGAATTTTATTGTTTTATTTTATTGTTTTATTCTCATTCTACGTGATTTTACCGAAGGAACCAAAGAAGATGAATCCTTGCAGTCACGAAAGCTTTAAATCGAAATTTGGATCGGTATTGTGATGCCTCTGAAGCTGTGCGGCGTGGTGTGTTGTGTGTTGCAGGTTCTTGGCTGCTGCAGGCCGCAATGTACTCTGTGCACAGGAAGGTGCACCCGCCCACAGGGCTGGAGCACGCCGTCTATTGCCACTTCTTCTCGAGCCAAGAACGTAACCTGGTGGTGGCCGGTGGCTCTCAGCTGCAGATCTACCGCCTCATCCATGACACCGAGGTAGCCTCCACTGTTTCGTACGGTCACGAATAATTGGCACGGCAGGTTGTCGGGCACACCTGGTGATTGAACATTGCCAGCATATCATAAACTAAATTCACACCTGGTGATCGGACCAAGGCTAGCATGCCCGGCAATTGAACATTGCCAGCATATCATAAACTAAACGTCTTTTTTTTTACTATTAAACAATCAAATCTGTAAGATGAAGTCACAGCTGGCAGAAGGGCCACCACTCCAGGAAGTTGTAGAGGAGAGCCCTTTTTAGTTGGTAAAATGGCTTGGAAGAAGTATGAGTAACCCATACTTTACCCAACAATTTGCTCGATGTTAACGTTGCTTGACGTAATTTACTTGGATAATTACTTTCACACAAATTGCTTGTGTATTGCTCGTCTGGTATGACGATTAAAATAACTTGGGACATGATTTCGACGTGCTGTCAGAATTATTTCTGGCATTGCATAGTGCTTGTATACCGATTTTTGCTACCTATTATATATTCTTTATGCATTTATTGAATTTTTTAAGATACATAGACAAAACCAAACATGCAAAATGACATTCTCTTGTCTTAAAGTCAAAGCTGTCTTCACGTTAAAACAAGCACATGGTAACTTAAGTCATATTGCATTCCGACAACTAACATTGTTGATTAATGTCTTTGCAGTCCGTATCAAAAGGAGACAAGCCAACAGGTAAACTCTTCTGAATTATGCACTGCAACCTATCCGTTCCATTCCATCTGCAAGCAATTATTGTGCTTGTACCTGTATGATTCATCTGTTCAAAATTATCTCTAGGAAGATATTTAACTGTACTTTGTCACGCTGGTCAGTGCAGGTTGTTGGAGATACTTGAATGACTGGGTGGAATGAACTACTTGTGTTCAGGTAACCCCATCCAGCAGTGGATTGATCGTGGCTTATGACGGTGATGAAATGTGCGCTGCAGATGGAAAGCCTCGCAAGGACAAGCTGGAGTTCATGTCATCCTTCTCACTCTTCGGGAACATCATGTCCATGGCGAGCGTGCGGCTCAGCGGTTCTTCGCGCGACGCGCTCCTGCTGGCCTTCATGGACGCGAAGGTCTCGAGCACCCACGGACATGTTCGCCCTGCTTCGCCTTGTAGGCCAGGAGTGGGGAACCTACCGCCCGCGAGCAATTAGTTGGCAATTAGCCGGCCCGCAACTTAACTTCATACGTCCCGTAGCCACACGAGGCCTACCACTTTTAAACGGAACACAAACGATATTCCATCTCTGATGCGACGTGGTTTTGAGTTGCACCACGTTCTGCGTGATGATGTCCGTGTTAATATAACGGCAGTGCTTATCCTGTGGACAACAGCGTAGGTTTCAGCACATGTTGGGGGGAGGGGACATGATTCTGAGCAGTAGAGGGCAATGCAAATAAAATCCATCGTGCTGTACTTCTATTCTCCTGCGTCTTTGCTCCCTGCCGTCATCAACCTTCACTGGTGAAGTTTGGTCACATATCCCCAATGACCGATACTGCATGGAGGGGGGCCCTCATCCAGCAGGGGATTGTCAAAAGGATTAACTTATTACTATTTAAAGCTTTTATGACTGCAGGGATTCATATTTTTGGTTCTTTCGGTAAAGTCACGTAGAAGGGAAATAATAAAATAATAAAAAGAAAACAATAAAGTGACATTTCATTAAATAATAAAAATAAAACGTATTATAATTAAATTTAATTAAATTATGTTTTATTTTTTTAATTTTATTATTTCCCTTCTACGTGACTTTACCGAAAGAACCAAGAATATAAGCTTATTACTATTACACTTTCAATATTTGCGCACACCTATTCTATCTTTTGCACAGATTATGTAGCCTGTTTCATTGCTTTTGTGTACTTCAGCTCAAAATAGGCTTGCTGATCCAACGAGCTCTTACCTGGTGGTACACATTAAGAATGAATGGATTGACCAATGCAATTGTGTTGTGATTGCGTGCAGCTGTCGGTGGTGGAGTACGATCCAGCAACCCACGATCTGAAAACCCTCTCCCTACATTACTTTGAGGAAGATGAAATCAAGGTAAGATGGGACAAACACCAACCCTTCTGTGTGTGACACCCAGGTTCTTTGCTCAGAGTTGTGTGCCCTCCGTGTGTGACGGCCTGTTTTTTTTAATTCGAATTGTTTGCTGTCGTGTATGCGACGCCGCGGTCGTTATGGTCGGACTGTGCTCCCGCTCCGTGTGTGACGCTGCGGTTGTTGTGCCGTTGTGTGCAGGATGGGTTCCACGGGAACGTGCACGTGCCGGTGGTGCGCGTGGACCCGGACGCGCGCTGTGCCGCCATGCTGGTGTACGGCACGCGGCTCGTTGTGCTGCCCTTCCGCCGTGAGACGCTCGCCGATGAGGCCGAGGGGGGCGTCTCTGAGGGGTGCGAGCCGTGCACCACCACTTTATAGGGCACCAGTCCAATGCACTCACTCGTACACTGCACCAGTACACTACTGCAGAGTGCTGTGGGATTGTAGCAGTACGCTACTTCACAGTGCCGTGTGAATGTACGAGTACACTACACCAGTACACTACTGCAGTGTGCTGCAGCAACATGTAATTGTTGGTTGAACTTGAACACTTGGTGAATTAACATGTCCATGATAGAATTAGCATAGTTAACCAACTCTCAAAATTCCAATACGCTTACCAACTTGGAAGATTAAAACAGAGCCATTCTACATTCATGTGTCTCCTTTGTTGTGCATGTGGTTTACATTCGGAGCGACCTGCCACCCTGAAGGAGCCTTCCCGTTGGCTGGGTCCACGAGCCGCGTCTTGCTTTCGGACGCGACTCGTTACCCCGTGTGCTCGTCGTTGCTCGCTAACTTTGCCACCCCCACCCGCCGCCGTGACCCCCGTTGCGCTCTTCCCCGCGTACAGGCAGAAGCCGAGCCTGCTGCCCAGCTACGTGATCGACCTGCGGGGCCTGGACGAGAAGCTCCTCAACGTCCTCGACATGCAGTTCCTACACGGCTACTACGAGCCCACCCTTCTCATCCTCTTCGAGCCCAACCAGACGTGGCCCGGGTGAGTGTCCGGCCTCGGCACAGCCATTGCGTTTCTCGCTCGCGCCCGGCCTATTCTACAGCTCGCTCTCGTGGTTATCCGCCGCGTTGAGGTTTGAGCGTGCTTGAGGAAAGGATGAATAGGAGGTCTTTATGCGTGCGCGATGGTTTCATTATCGGCTGTTCCGTACTCGTAGGGTGTCAACGACGGGTAATTTTAGAATGCGACGCTTAACGCCTGCACACAATGGCCTACTCTTGCGGGTGACGTGACTGCGTATGTATTCATTACGGTTCTTGCATGCGCGATAATAATCCGGACGGCCACTGGAACCGAGCCGCGAACTTCTGCAACGAGCAGCAAAGGCACGGCCACTGGGCCCGCGCGCCCATACGTGTTGCGCACGCCTGCGATGAATGTACCACGTGTCGGTTGTCGAGGGAGTGGTGTTTACGCACCTCACTGATGCATTCACCGCCTGCAGCCGAGTGGCAGTCCGGCAAGACACGTGTGGGATCGTGGCCATCTCGCTCAACATCGCCCAGAGGGTGCACCCCATCATCTGGTCGCTCAGCAGCCTTCCCTTCGACTGCACGCAAGCCCTGGCCGTCCCCAAGCCGATCGGTTCGCACGGATAATCTCACTGCCGCACACCTCCTTTGTAGACGGAGGCTGTACACGTCACTTCCTGTCTTTTTGGGGCTAGACGATATCGAGGGGTGCAGCGGTCTGCGCAGCGGGTTGACGCGCCGCACCGTACAGCACCGTGGACCCGGTGATATGAATTAGATTCCCGGCCATTGTTAACATCGGTGGCGAGCAATAGCTTAACCGGCGTTGGATTATTTTTCCTTAATAGTTCACGCTGCTCAGCATGGTGAAGTATGGTCAATCACAGCGTGGGGAGGCCCTCATTCACCAGTAAATTGACAAAGAATCAATGATTATTTTCATAGTGTTATCATATTTCTTTAGTATAGGAATTACTCGCAAGTCAATCAAGGACTGCAGTATAATCTGAGCAGATGAATTAGAATTTATTCTAAAAATATAAGAATAACTCTCCAGCAAAATAATGACCAAAAACTCATTTGTCAATAACACTGCCGTGACACGAAGAAGGGTCATTGACCAAAGATCGTCACCTATTTTATGTTTTAGTGACTCTTTAGCACGGTGTTATTGACGAATGCGTTGGGCTAAAATACCTTGAGCTTGAGCTGCACAACACATGTGTATTGACATCCCATGAGAGCGGTCGGCTGAGTGGACGTTGCGACTGCTCCGGTCGGGGTCGGTGTCTCTCGACAGGTGGCGTGGTCATCTTCGCGGTCAACTCCCTTCTGTACATGAACCAGAGCGTCCCACCGTACGGCGCCTCCCTCAACAGCATCACGCACGGCTCCACCGCCTTCCCACTGCGTGAGCTCCCTGCCCCGAATGTGCATTTAAAAACATGTCTATGTGTTTACGGCATTTTTTGCTGTGCACAAGAACAAAGGTCTGCTGCAGAACATTGGGCACCAAAAAACAACCGCACGTGAATATCCGCCAGGCCCATGTACCCGACGCGTCCTGTTTAATGGTGGGGGGTTGGGGGGGGGGCAGACAACCCAGGGACCGAATGTGCACTTTTAATGTCACGGTGGCTGGACGTTGATGCGTGTAATAATTATATTGAGCAGCTGTTTGTCGTACATATGTATGTATGTATGTTGAACTTCATTCGCACCGTATGTAGCCAACCGCTAATCACACGAAAGTTGTTTTAAATAAATTCCTTTTTAATCTTGATCTTGATTTTAAAGTGCATAGCTCCAGTGGCTTCCTAATATTGGAAAGGAAGATGGTTCCAGACGGCCGCAGCGTGTTCTCAAAATACCGGGCTCATCCAGGGCTGTAGTTCTTCCGGTCTATATGCTTTCTCAATAAAACCCCATGCAATAGAGACTAAATTGAACCCGATTTAAAGCTTTCGTGACTGCAAGGATTCATCTTCTTTGATTCTTTCGGTAAAATCACGTAGAATGAGAATAAAATAATACATTGATAAAATAAAATAACACAATAATATTCTCACGACGTTTCGGCCACAACACAAGCGGCCTTCATCAGGTGAAGGGGACGAGACTGTCTGGAGGACAGACAGCTCCAGCGCTGTCCTCCAGACAGTCTGCCCTCCAGACAGTCTCGTCCCCTTCACCTGATGAAGGCCGCTTGTGTTGTGGCCGAAACGTCGTGAGAATATTATTGTGTTATTTTATTTTATCAATTTATTATTTTATTCTCATTCTACGTGACTTTACCGAAAGAACCAAAGAAGATAAATTGAACCCATTTACAATTTTATTGCTCAACGATTTTTGTTCAATTATATTCTTATTACTATTTCGACAACAACTACAGTTAAGTGCACATGAACTGGAGCACGGCCATCGTGTTTGCGCGCGACAGGTATTCAAGATGGCGTGAAGATGACGCTGGACTGCGCGCAGGCCACGTTTGTTTCCTACGACAAGATCGTCATCTCCCTCAAGGGAGGAGAAATGTGAGTCGTGAAACTCGTCGCGTTGGCGTGCTTCGCGTCCGAAAATGGCTCCACTGACGGTCTCGTGGCGTGCGCTCATGACCATGGCCGTATGTATGTTGAACTTCTTTTGCACCATACATAGCCAACCGCGCTAATCGGAGGTGCGAGGGGAAGGACAACAAACTAAACACAAAAAGCAGTTCTAAATAATAGATTTTTCAATGTATATTTAAAAGTGCAGAGCTCCAGTGGCTACTTAATATTGGAAGGAAAAGCATTCCAGGCTGCCGCGGAAGCGCATCTAAAAGTGCGCGATGCGGTGACCATCTTTGTTCAGTGGCTAGCCAAAAGCAGCTGCTGCGAGGACGACCGGAGTTCGCGTGATGATTTATGATCCTTGACAAGACGCGGGAGTGGAAATCTCTCTCTCCCTTTCCTGCGCTGGTCGCACTTGTAGCTTGACGTTTTGAAGGAAGGTGATTGCCTGCCCAGAATGAAATTGAAGTTGGCTTGCGTTAAAATTTACTCCCAATTCTGTGAAGTGATTGCTCATTTAGGGGAGCACGTTATCCAAAACGCAGTTTCACACTTCAGTCGGACCGGATGGCATCCTGCCAAATGCTTTTAAATTAGCACGAGGTGAGGTTCTGCCATGGTTTATTGTAAATCTTCTTTTTAACTTGTAAATTACGTCCAATACAGTGCCTGATGATTGGAAATTGTCTTCTATCCATCTGCTTGATAAGTACAGAGCAGTCAACGATACAAATAACTAAAGACTGTCATTCAATTTTTGCTCACTGTCAAAGGTCCAGGAAGAGTTAGTGAAAAAAGATCTCGTGTCTTTTTTAGAGGCAGGACTTTGTGACGTGAATCATGACGGCCTGGTTCGTGTGTGTTTGGTTTCTTCGTCAGTTACGTTCTGACGTTGATCATCGATGGTATGAGGAGTGTGCGGAGCTTCCACTTTGACAAGGCGGCCGCCAGCGTTCTCACCACGTGTGTAAGTGCGCCCCACAAATCCGCACGTGCCCTTCACATTTACTTCCACTTTCTCCACCGGTGCCCATGTTTCTGATACCCATATCATCGGTACATCATCCCTTTGTCGCAGGTTGCATAGCACAGTGTTTGTGAAGCAATCAGCTTCTGAAAAGTGGTCGTTAAACCAACTCCTAATTCCTTATGGCTTATTCATATTCTTAGCTCTTTCGGTAAAGTCATGTTGAAGGGAAACAAAATAATAATATATATATAAAACAATAAAAATTCTCACGACGTTTCGACCATAACACAAACGGTCATCATCAGATGTGAAAAACCATGGCTTGCGAATATAACACGTTTGGTCGTATTCATATGCCAAGCTTTATAACGCTAGATATTGTGGTCAAGCCATGCATTGGAATTGATGATTGACTGAAACCATCTTGATATATAGAGGAGTGCAGAGCTTGGGCGGGTGGAATTTGGCACCTGCTCCGCCACCTGGCCTCCTTTCCGATGTGCCCGCGGTTCCTCCTTGAGCCTCTTTGAGTCGGGAGCGAACCCTGCGGGGGCGGTGGTAGTGGCGACGTGTTCCAAAGTCGGTGTTAATTTTGCGCTGGTGCCACGGCCCTTGGCGCCGGTGGTTGGTCCACAGATGCTGACGATGGAACCCGGCTACCTGTTCCTGGGCTCCCGGCTGGGGAACTCGCTGCTCTTGAAGTACACGGAGAAGCTGACCGAGTCGGCCGCCGAAACGATGAGCAAAGACAAACCGGTGAGCCGAGCAGCGCCTTTGTTTACTTATTAGCACTTTACAGCTTAGGTGGAAAGTGTAACAGGGCAGGTGGGCGGGAGGTTGTGGTGGGGGGGCGGAGTACAATAACTCTCATTAAGACGATCCAATGTGAACAAAATTCGGTATAAATTGCCATTCCTATTCAGGAATAATGTAGCAGGTTAAAACCCTCCCAAATGATTTTAAAGCGTTGCTTGCGTCTTCCCTGGAAGAACTGCTTTGCAAGCCCTGTTGCCTTGTTTCCTACGCCCCTGGCGTGAGCCACTACTGATATTATCGCGGATTTAATACGTTTGAGGATAAACGCATGTTGGAAGGTGCTGCAGGAATCCATACACGTCCCTATTTGAACTTACGTTGCCATTTTCGCCCAACGTTATCCCGTTAGGGCTATCAGTGTGTCACGCCATGAAACGAAGAATCCAGTCAGATCGCTTCACAAAGCAGTGCAATCCTTCGTGTTTGGAGAACGGCCCGTGGAAGCGGATATCACTGAACTACCTGTGAGATCTCTTTAAGCGTCCTGTAGTCCACACAGTGGAGGGTAGTACTTTCACACCTGCTCTGCACGTGAGTGTAATTGCTGAGCCAGGCGGTCACGTCCTTGGTGGCCATGTCTAGTCGTCATAGAGCACTGCTGAATTCAGTCAGTGCACGGCCATAAAATTACGTGACACTGCATAGGGCCACAGCTGTGGTGTGGGTTGTCACGAAGACCCCCAACGGCGGAGGTTTGGCTGCACAGCGACCTCGCCCTTTGTCCGGAACCTGTCCAGCAAGGGCCTACTGAAGGCTTGGCAGGGTAAAACCAGCTGGACAAGACTGTAGGGTCCGCGATAAGAGACTGAATTCTCAGAACTTAAATATAGCCATATTAATCGCTGAACAAAAGTTCGTGTGCGATGTTTTATTTGTATGCGGTCCTTGGTAGCTGAGGCTGAGACCGTCAACTCAACTACGCCTGGAGGACCAGGACCTCAGCGGTGTCGGCTCAGCGCTCCGACCTCTGAGCCATCCGGCCGCCTATAGAGCAGTGCCCTCTACAATGACCGCCGATCATGAATACGGCCGCGCCGATGCCATTGACGTGACAGTAGCACGCTCGTCCATGGGAGCTACTACCCACCTTGTTAACGTTGTGTGTAGCTGCGAGTTTTTAATCGTTGTTGGCAATAGTCCAATTGCTTTGTGGTGAATAGGCTTTATTTTTCCTTTAACGATCTAGATATATTTATCTCTCTGCAGTGTCTGTATAGCGTAACATTTGTGTTGATCAAGAGGAAATTTAAAAAAGTGCACCCTGTGTTGTCATTACGGCAAGATGATCTCATAAGTCTGAACATTTGTTATCGCGAACTCTTTACGACTCCAGTCCATCATGAATGCGTGCTCATCGCATGCAGCAAGCTCTTTGGAATAACACTTTGGAAAACTGTTCAGGCTCACTGTGATCAGTCCAAACAATGCTCAAGTAGTTTTGCAAAAACAGCTTGGGTAATGTTAAAACCAGAGCTGATCGTTTATAGGCTCATTGATGTCCTCTTGCTTAATCAGGTGAGATAACTCATCAGCGTTCGATAGCTCATTCGCCGATCACTAAAGCTTATAACGCGGCCCTTTGTAACTGGGCTTTCGCCAACGCAGCTCAATTCCAGGCCTCTGAGCCCGCTTGGTAGGCTGCGATTGTGAGCTCGCTTCCCACTAGTGGGCTGTTAAATCATCATTCCCATTATCTACTCAATGCCAACGTGTTGCTCCTATCTGTCTCGCCTGTTATTGATTGAGGTGAGACGTGATTGAATAAATCTGCTCAAACTATGGAGAGAGGGAGCCCTGCGTACCGTTTGAATTCCCCGGCGTTCAGTTCTTCCTTAGGAATAGAGACGTGCGGCCCTTGGTCAATCCACTGCTGGATGAGGACCTCCCCCACACCTTGTGGTTCCTAGGGGTTATTTGACCACGCTTCACCACCCTGGTCAGCGCGGGTTGTTGCAGGTGGCGGAACACAGAGACAGGGTTCGCGAGGTACACCGCAGGGCACGGGTTTTTGCTGCGCTGTCCTCTGCTGCTCACCACGTAGCCCCCCACGGCCTGTACCAACTTGCGTGTGCATGGCGGTTGCTCGTTCAATCACTCATCCAGGCTCACACCCTGCTTGGCTCTTGAGAGAGATGCGAGGAGATTGGGTGCGCATTCTGGGTGATTTGGTCATACAAAAAAAGTACGTCTCATCAGGGCCCCCCCCCCTCCCGTGTTAGAAAGTGACATTTCTATTTTTCGTGCCACGAAGATGTTCCATTGCACCAACATGTCGCCATGCCGTATATTTCTCATTTGAAGGCTGCGGTTTTGCTGACGAATGTGTCGAGTTTGTTCGTTATTCGACTTTAAACTTGTGAACGTGTTCCATTAGGAGGAGCCGCCCAACAAAAGGAAACGCACCGAGGCCGGAGACTGGATGGGTAAGAGAGAGCGCAGTACAGTACGACACCACGGATAGAAATGCGCATTAAGAGAATTTGGCTGCTATAAATTTCCACACGATAAGCCACTTCGTCGAGCTATCATTTGTGGCCAGGCCACTTCTGAAAAATAGCTATTATAGCTCAGTGGGCCCTACCTGGTAAAATAAACGTGGTGTAAGAGTTTAACAATATCAATCAGACTGTCCGAGGTCTGAGGTATCAGCGCATGGGTCGAAAGGTCACTTATTTGAACACCGGTAGAAAATGGCAGCTATGCCGTGCAGAAATATGGTCCCGGAAAAATCATGAAGCGCAAACTTTTTTGAACATCGGGGCAAAATTATTTGCTGTGCCTTAGATGTAAGCGACTGTACGCGAGATTAAGATCGCACGACTGTGTTTAACGGTCGGATTTGTGGCCATCTCTTGAACGAGACAAAAATAAACATTTGTCAGTAACACTGCCTTCAAAGAAAACAATATAAATAGGCGACGTTTCAGGCAGTCGCCCTTCTGTCCTCTCTCTTTATGTGCCGTGAAGAAGGGCCATTGCCTGAAACGTCACCCACCTTGTTATTTTCTTCTCAAGGCCACAGCGTGATTGACAGATGTGTCGAGTTTTTTGTTAATTTCATCAGGTCTCTCCTCTGTGTTTTACCTAGAATGTTTTATCAGCAGTAAGTTGTCTGCGCGCGTGTGCGGGAGTTAGCGCACTGCGCTACAAACCTGGCAACCCAATTTCGATTCCAGCTCACGGCCACCACCAATACTTTTGACGATTATCTGGGCCTCAGCCTCAAATGAGTACCTCGTGTGGTGTGTCGTAAACATCGCGACTGGGGAGACAAAGGCGTCGGGGCGTGGTGCTGGCCACCCACCCGCCCTCGTGTGCCGTGCCAGCCTTTATTGGTGCTACTCGCAAACTTGCAGTGTGTTAAGGCTGTACGGCGGATTTTTGTTCTTGTTTACGCTTATTTATTTGTTCGTCGTTAGCCAAGAATGTGGCGCTTCTCGACGACATGGATGAAATCGAGGTGTACGGGAGCGAGGCGCAGTCTGGCACTCAGCTGGCCACCTACTCCTTCGAGGTAGCGTCAACGCACGGCCACAACGAACGCACGGATGGCACAAACGCGCGTGTACAGCGCCGAGTGTGCTTCAATGACTCGGCGTACTTTAAAACCGTTTCGCGACCCACGTGTGTGCCCTTTATCACCCAGGTGTGCGACAGCATCCTCAACATCGGGCCCTGCGCCAATGTAGCCATGGGGGAGCCGGCCTTTCTATCCGAGGAGGTCAGTGTTTGCATGTATCCAGGGACATCAAATTGTTCATGAGTTTATATAGACTTCACGGTGAGCAGCGAATTGATGTGTGATGAGTAGCGCATGCTGGAGTATGCGATCCAGAGGTCGCCGGCTCTGTTTGGTCTCCCGGCGCGGCCGTTGAAATGATGGACAAGATTCTTAAATCTCCCCCACGCCCCCCCCACCGCCTCTGCCCACTCAGCAGGGTGAATTGCTGCACCGCAGCCGATCGGCAGCTCGCCGTGTGGTGATGTAAATTGTGAGCACTCTCTAGGTCAAATAGTTATCCTGAGCTCGCTGTAATGGTGGAAGGCCCTTACGCTGGCAGTGGCGTGAACAAGACATTGCACGGCTGCACCTTCAGCTTTCACTACGAGGAGTACAGTGAGACCTCATGGTGGAGCGGACAGCACAGTCTTAATAATTTCCCAACCCAAGAACCTGAACATATGTGGAAATCGTTTCGTCGTGTGTCCAGGAGTGAGTTTCGGATTGATACATTAAACATTTTGGTTAATAGAATTTTAAAGATAGTTTTGGATCTTTGTCAGATATTTGGATAGTTGATATTTTGTATGAATGTAAAATGTCTTCCTGTTAACAATAATGTTTATTTGTATGTATGTTTGTAAGTCTGTCACACCTGTCAAGCCCTTATCAGTGCCTACCTTATTTCAGACCAATCCAGACCTTACTGGTCACCCCATGCCCTTCTTATTCTCAACGCTCATCCTACACAGTCCCATCAAAAGGGAGAAACACAAAAACATTTTTTTTTTACTCAATTTCCCTGTAAAAGAATACGGGTAAACCGTATGGGTTGACAGGTATGGTATAGTATGTTTGTATGTGTGTATTTTGAACTGCTTTCGTACCGCATGCAGCCAACCGTGCTAATTGGAGATACTGCGTGACACCATTTTTGGTGGGAAATGTGTGGGAGCGACGTCATATCAGTGACATTTCGGTTCTATCACGGTTTTTCTACGTACTGTGCAAAAGAAGTTCAACATACATTATACATGCATCCAAAATGTCGTATCTACTCCTGATTTGTTTTTGGAGGATTTTGTCGGATAAGTAAAACAACTGGAGCCAATTCCTCGGAGAGACAGAATGTGCAACCACACGTGCAGACAAACGTATAGGAGATTAGTTGTGGTGTGGAAAATGTCACATTGCTTCAATTCAGAATTGAAGCTGAAAGCAAGACGGTTAATGCGGCAAAAGGCAAGAAACGGAACAGTAATGATGAGGTCTCACCGTGTTACCATCCATTCACTCATGTCTCATTAGCAACATGGTGTAAAATTACACCAGACCTCTGGGGTCAATTACAGCTGTAATTGTGCCGTTGGTAATGAATTTGCTTTTCACAACGTAATTGTAATTTCAGTGACAATGCTGCTGCAGTTGTAATTATATTTGACCCCAGGTCTCAAATACATAGACACTCAAATTAACTTTATTTATAACCAGGTGAGGGCCGATTGAGAACAAATGTGATAAGCAGACAAATTTCCTCGTCATTTATCTGTTGATCCACGTTAAAAAAGTACACTTCACTCCCAGAATACAGTGAAGGCCGATGCGTTGTGACATTTTTTTGTATGGGGAGAGACGGAAACAGGATGGAGTCATTGTGTGCTTTTCCTTTTTGTTACTTATATATTCTACACAATGACGTGAGCGATTACATTTAGACAAAGAAAAGTGTCTATATTACACACCATCGTCTATGTGGTAATTAGTATTAATCCACTGCTTAAAACTTTGTGAGTTAATATGTGACGATAATGTTTGATTGTTTCATGTGCGAAAGTTTCAAAACAGACCAGAACCGGACTTGGAATTGGTTTGCTGCTCCGGCTATGGGAAAAATGGAGCTCTGTCCGTGGTGCAGGTGAGGTCGTGTTCATGAGTTTTAATAATAATCATTGTCTTTCTGATATTTCATTTAGCATCATCCAAGAAAATCACATCTTTAAAATTCTGCAGCATTTGTAATTCTCCTAGCCTTCACCAACCCGCCCTGACCAGTGGGGTGAAGTATGGTCAAACAACCCCCCCCAATAGCCCGCACGGGGAGACCCTCATCCAGCAGTGGATTGACCAAAGGGCTGTAACCTGCACACCTGCGCCTACCGTGTCCTCCCGTATAATTCCGAGCGATGCGTGCATTGCGTTTTGTCTGGCAGAGGAGCATTCGGCCGCAGGTGGTGACGACGTTTGAGCTGCCGGGATGTTACGACATGTGGACGGTCATCTCTCCCGTCAGCGAAAAGCGAGAAGAGGGCAAGGTACAGCATGTGGGGGTGCGGCTATAACCCCCTTCGCCTCTTTTACACTGAACGGCTGACCTGCGCCAAGGCCATGCCGAAGCCAGCCTGGCTCGGATCAGCAGGAGCCTGGGTTGTTATTTTCCACCGCGATAGCCGCGCAGTGCCAGCTGATGCCACCTGCAATGACTGAGTCGAGACGTGCGTTGGGGACGCCGTGTCCTCGCTGTGTACCGACCGATGTCACAGGAACTGAACGGTTGATTAGTCCCAACCCTGGCCCTGCTTGGCCCCGAGCCATATTCAGGTGTCTTGGGAAGCCGACATATCACAGTTCCGGTCAGGGCTCGGCAGCACGGCAGACGGCCGATGGAAAGCTACCACTGTCATGAGTGCCCCGTGCTGGCCCAGTTGTGGCAATGGAAAAGGGGTAACACGGACTCACGCACACACACAAAGATAAAGAACCCCCTATATAAATATGGGCCATGCCTTTGTTTTTAAGTTTGGAGTTTGTTCGCACGTAAGGCAATTTAAGAGAATGAAATTGCTTGCCGCTGATTTTTCTTTTTACGTACGTAAATCTGCTTTGCTGTTTTTCTCCCTTTGCTTGCTGTCCAAGAGATCAAGACATGTGAGTTCACGGGTTAAATTCTGAATAATCATCCTGAACCACGGCAAACACCGAATGAACTTTACCCATCTCCGAATTATAAATGTGATCCACGTTCAGCGGCGACACCACAGCATCGAATCAAGTCACGATCAAGTGCATTCGGTGGTTAATCTTCATTCTTTATTCTCCTCCTTCCTGTTTTTTTTCCCCCACGGAACAGAGCAAGGAGTCCGAGTCGGAAGCGGAGCCCGAGAAGGAGGAGCAGAAGGAGGCGCCGCTGGAAGACGAGAAGAAGAAGCACGGCTTCCTCATCCTGAGCCGCGACGACTCCACCATGGTGCCGTGGGCCTTTGCTCCCCCCCTCTCTTATGCTGCTCCCCACTTGTCGCTCGGATCGCTGGCGTACACGAGGGTGTTACTGGCTGGCCGGTGGGTGGGGGGCTGGGTGCTTTCCACGCGTGTTCCCAGACGCAGCCGAGCTGCCATTGCGCAATCGCCCTGTGCGGTATTGCGCAATCGCAGCTTTGGAGCCCCGGGGGTAGGTAGTAGCGGTGCTCATGGCGGTAGTGGGCGACGGTGGTGCTGGTGGTGGCGGTGGCGGTGATTCGGCAACTTCACGTGGCGTCAAAATAGGCCAGGTTCTGGCCACGTGAGCTGCGGTGAGCTCGCCGACACTGCTGAATGGCAGTTGGTGATGTTTGTGGGTAACTGTGCCATACACGAGCATATTGTCACTGCACGTTTTTTAAAAACTTCATTACCCCTCTCTATAGATTTGGACACTGCGTAATTTTGTGGGGTGGTGGGGGGGGTTGTTTCAGCTCTCCCATATCGCTCCTTAAGTTCGACACTGCCAAGAACGACGTAGCCTTTGCCACGAGGGGAGATGGAAAAGTACGTGGCCCTGACGGAGAAAGGGGCGACGAGTGACCTTGATGGAAGGGTGCGTTATTATGCCGTGTGGGCCGCTTTGTTGAGCAACGCTCATCCTCCATCGATGTCCCAAGGCTTTTGTCTTTACCCAGAAGAACTCTTTGTATCTGTTTTCTTTCTTCTTCTTTTCTCCCACCGCACGTTCGCAGAATCCATTGTTTTTATTGTCACGAGAAAAATGCTCTCCCCACAATTGATTCCTCAACTCTGGAATAAAGTCAGACCACAGACTATTTATTCACACCCCCCCCCCTCCCCCACACATACATCGTTATATTTTGGATAATAATGATAACAGCCTCTGGTCTGTGTGACCTCCCAGATCCTGCAGACAGGCCAGGAGATCATGGAGCTGGACCACAGCGGCTTCAACACGCAGGGCCCCACGGTGTTCGCGGGGAACCTCGGAGGCAACCGCTATATCCTGCAGGTCTCACCCATGGGCGTGCGGCTCATGGAGGGAAGTAAGTGGCAGAAGGGGAGACGTGCGTCTTGAGTTCTACGCGATGATCCCTTTCCGCCCACTGGCTCATCCCGAGCCAGCGCAGTGCTCCCACCCCCCCCCCCCCTTCCCACGGTACGGGTGGTATCCCACTAAACTATTCAATATTTTTTTTTATTTTGCCAGGAAAGGCCCACTGAGCTATACAGCTCTCTTTCAGAAGTTACGTGGCCGCAAATGATAGCTCAACGAAGTGGCTTATGTGGGAATTTCTAGCAGCCAAATACTCTCAACTGATAATTTCTTAATGTGGAGGGAAAAACCGGAGCACCTGGAGAAAAATCCATGCGACCACGGGGAGAGAGACACCGCAAACTCCAAATATACGACTAGTGTCATGGTCGGGATCGAACCCATGACCTCCTGTACAGCAGGCGAGATAGTGAACATCTCGCCACCGTGGCTCCCCACTGCGTACGCTGCTCACCTCACAAGAAATTCGCATTAGGCTCAGTGCCAAACAGGGCCGGGGGGCGCTCGTGCGAGGCCGACGACACGTAGATCACGCGCGCGACGCTGGCTCAGTACGCCGCTCGGACACGGCGTCACCGCACGACGCGCTCGTGCATCGGCTCGCTAGCCGTGGGTGTCGTCGGTGGCGCACGCCGCTCTGCTTCTGTGGTGGAAAAACATCCCGGATCCTCCTGAGCAGCGCCGGGGCTAGCTTGGCACGGCTCGGCTGTGGAGTGTGCAAAAGAGGCGTACGTGCACGTATACAGCCATTTTGGCATAATCCACTGCTGGATGAGGGCTTCCCCACACACTCCAATAACCCCCACGACCCCCCACAGTGCAGGCTCTTGGGGGTTATTGGGGCACGCTTCGCCACGCTGCTCAGCGCGGCTCTGTGAAGGCGAGGAGTGCAGATATTGGTGCGTGGTTCTTTGCGACAATGGATTTGCCAACCCCGCCCTATGACCACCCCCCTGTTGTGCCTAGCGGTCACTGAGACCTCATGATATCTGGCATATTCCGGGTAATTTGGTCAGAAGTAACGATGTGCAATACATCACGATAATGGGGGGGAGCGACGGTGCAGTGGTTGGCGTGCTTATGCTATGAACTCGTCAGCTAGAGTTTGATTCCCAGCTACGACTAACATCAGGGGAGAGTGATTTTTCCTAACCAGTCCTGGGCCTCCCAGGACATCCCGCACCGATCGGCGTGGTGAAGTATGTTTAAAAAAAAAACTAAAGCTCACTCACCGACACGGCAAACGATGAGAACTTCATCCAGCATTGAATGAACAGAGGCTGGAATTAATAATTACTATAACAGTATCCGTCCGCTAAATATTGTTCTTGGACAGCATAGTCCTATTTATTATAATGATAGTCATCCTCGGCCACAATCCGTCCGCTGCTTGTGGAAAGCCCTTGCTGTAACGTCACCATTCTTCGTGATCCTGCGGTAGCCGAAATCCGTTGTGTGTCTGTTCAGGACTTGGAAGTGCAATGCTTGGAATTCCGCTGTGAGGAAGATAGAAAGAAGAACTCATGCAGCAGGGAACAAATGGTTGACAATTAAGACAAGTAAGAAGGCTTGGGCTGGACTTGTCATTAGAGGGGCTGATTTCCGGTGGTCAAAGATTAGCGACGGAGTGGCCGCCAATAGAGGGAACGTATCCAAAGGGATGTCGGCTGCGGAGGCGGTGTTACGGGCACCACGGTGGCGAGATGTTAACTACCTCGCAAGGTATGCAGGAGGTCGCGGGTTTGATCTCCACCACGACGCCTCCTGTATATTTGGAGTTCGCATATTCTCCCCCTGGTCATGTGGATTTTTCTTCGGGTCCTCTTTGATTTTTCCCTCCGCATTTAGACTCAACATCCGTTTACAATATTTGGCTGCTATAAATCTCCACGTTGATAAGCCGCTGTGTAGAGCTATAATTTGTGGCCAGTGACGCTTCTGAAAAAGAGCTCGGTGGGCCTTGCCTGGTCAAATAAAAAATATCACGCTTAGAAGCTAGATGAATTGTTGAATCACAGTAACAAGAGTGATGGCTTGGGGAGGGCCTTCGTCCGGTCACGGTTCATTTGAAGCTGATGATGACGACAGTCGTGGTTGGCAGTATCAACTTCACATTCACTTACTTGATTCACGTTTTATGCCAAGTGCAAGGAAATCGCTAATTAAACGCTTGGCAGGCAATAGTCACTTTTGTCCTCGGAGGTTATCTTCGGTACGGTTTGTAATCTCGATTGGAACCCCAAGGTTCTATAATGGAAGGGCTTGTGTGTTCTTATAGAATCGTGGGGGGGGGGGGGATCAATGAGAATGATCACACTTTCGTCCATTGATCGTGAGAAATTGATAGTCGGGGGAAACAAATTAAAGGAAAAAAAAAGTCATTAGCGTTCACAGTCGTTTTTTGTTGATTTTGCTGATGGTCGCTTGTTTTTGCACCAAGTACTTGCCTTTTCGGGCACGGAAGGACCCGTGGTTGTCTCGGGTTCGGGCTTCCCAGCCGATGTATCAAATCAACAAATTCGTTCTCTCGTTTGTTTAGCGCACTTCACGGCAATCATAAAGGCATCTCAGGTGCACTTTACCTAAAATTATTATATACTATATCCAAGACATTTAGTCAACAAAGCAACACACAATAGAAAACATAAATAGCGAACAAAAGCTTAAATTGTAATGAGGATCAGTTGCCGAAATCAAAGGAATGCCGCGGTAAAAGCAGACACGCAGGAGGTGTTAAGATGTAACGCCTGTATTAACTGCTCAACCCAAGCTATAAATAAGTTGGCATTTGGATTGTCCTTGTCCCGCTCGTCTTTTGGAGCTCTGCTTTATGGCACCGGTGAGACAAAGTCTCATAAAAGGGGCTGTCTCGTGAAGGCCAATCACTTTCAAGGACAATGCATAAATTATCAAAGAATACTTGTTTACATGTTTTGCCACAAGTATGTGGAATAAATGTTTTTCCCCGTGACATACACGGTGCCCTGACGCAAAGTTGGAATACAATCGGTGGGGTGAGTGTGAGGTGTGGGGGGGGGGGCAGCAGAGAACACAAAGTTAGCAGTTTCGTGTCCGATAAGAGGAGTTATTTTCATGGCAATCAAGCGTTACACTGTGATGTTGGCTTGTGGTGTCCACAGTGGTACAAAGTAGCCTGCACACAAACTAATGACTTCTGTTAAATTGTTCGTGCCGGCGCAACTTCTGTCTTGTATTTTGCGCCGCGTATCGCTAAACTGGGAAACTCGTTAACCGCCGCTGTTTTCCGACCTAATTACACATTTGCGGTGGCTTTTAGTTGTTTAAGCCTACGCATTGCCAACTGTCATTCAGTTCAAATTATGTCGAGATCTTTATTCGGCAACTTTCAATTTAAAATATTTAACAGGCGTTCAGGATAGGGGTTTAGGTTGCATAATGCTTGTGACCAACTTTGTGTCACTGGGAACTCTCCACCACCCGACACAGCCAATCAAATAAAATCGTCACACGGTGCACAAGCATCTCACGACGTGCCGATTATTATTGTTTTGGCTCGTTCATCGGTAGGGTTGAATAAGAGTGCGTGGAGGGGAGTAGAGTGAGCTGAGAGGGGAGAGATAGGAGAGTCTGTTGAGGGGAATACAGTGAGATGAAAGGGGAGTGTGGGCAGTCAGGGATGAGTCCAGCGAGGATTTGGAAGACGGTGCCATCTTAACATCGATTTGAGATTGGATCGTGAGCCAGTGGAAGGAATGGGAGTACTGGGGTGGTCGAAGTAATTGTGAAGCTCTCAATTAAACAAACTCACGCGCGCACTTTTTCTCCCACCAGCCAAGCAACTGCAGCACATCCCGCTGGACCTGGGCTCGCCGATCGTGCACTGCTCTGCGGCCGACCCCTACGCCATCATCCTGAGCGAAGAGGGGCAGATCATGCAGCTGCTGCTCAAGGAGGACAAAGTGAATGGCTCCTGCTGGCTGGCTGCCGCGAAGCAGCCGGTCCACTCGGTGAGCTTTCACCTCCCCAAACTCTCCCCCGCCCCAGCCATTGGGTGACGTGACGATCGCCCTTTCAGGCGGATCACGCACCACCACGGTCGGTTCTGGTTCGACCGATGCGACCGCGGTCGATGCATTCCAAAAAAAACGAAGGGCGCACAAAACCGAAACAGCTGCCTGTCGAGTAGCGCACACAGTACACACAGAGTTCACACACAGTACACACAGTGCTCGCAGTACACAACTTTGTCCCGTGTGACACCACGTAGCTGCATGTAGAGTGAATGCAAACCGCTTAACACGGATAATTTTGGGTAGAAATAGGTTTGCCGCGTATGCAGCGCAAAATCGCACAAACCGAACGAGCGTAGGGCGAGGGGAACCTGTGGAGAAATCGGTGGCGTCACATTCTGCTGGGGTGACTTCTGCCGCACGAGGTGACGTCACGACTGCTAGCTTGTGAGAGTTCCGACAATCGCAAAACTTTAAAAGAACAAACTGTGATTTACGATGCTCGTGCGCGGCATCGGGCTTCGCCCCGTCGTCTGGGTGTTGATTTTTGGAACGATTTGTGGGTGTAGGGAGAACTGTTGACGCGCGTCCTTATTAGATGTGCACGTCTCTGCGCAGAATTATTACCTTTTTTTTTTTAGATTAAGAGCCACGTTAACACAATTTGACTGCGGAGCATTCCCACAGGAGGCATTCGGCACGCTCGAAGTGCACGCTCCGTTCAGCGCGAGAGGCTCAAAGTGTTTACGTATGGGGCTTGCGGCCGCTAATGTGGATGCATAAGCATTCTTGTGTGCGCGTGCTCTATGCTTGCGTGTGCGTCTGGGTCGGCTCGGCCACAAATGAGTACCTGCTGCGGTGTGTAGTAAACATCGCCACCGGGGAGACAAAGGCAGTCGGGCGTGGTGCTGGACACCCACCCCCTTGTGTACCGTGCCGGCCTTCATAGGTGCTACTCACTCACAGCACTTGCCCCAACAGTCCGTTAAGGCTGGGTTTAACTCCTGGCTGTGGGTGGATTGCATCAGCTGCACATGGTTATTAGAGCTAATCTCAGCCTTAAATGAGTCCCCCATAGCAAATCCTAATATTGCCGGGAGCGGTCGCAGTCGTGGTTGTACTACGATCCTGGCAAGCAGAGTTTGATTCTCGACCATGGCTAACATCTAAGTATTCGAGTGTTTGGCTGCTATACATTTCTACATGATAAGCCACTTCGTTGAGCTGCTATTTGTGGCCTCTGAAAAAGAGCTATTTAGCCCAGTGGGCCTTAGCTGGTAAAATAAAAAAAATTGTTTCGTTTTTAGTTTAACTTCAGTGGCGGCTGATATCTGAACCTGCCTGGTCAAACAACCCCCCACAGCCTCCACAGCTTGAAAGGAGGCTTTCATCCAGCAGTGGAGTGACAAAAGGTTTGTAAAACGACAATTACAGCCATAACACAAACCTCATCACGACGACGATGAGGACGATCGTGACGACGAAGATGGCGATCTCGATGTTGACGATCGGCATACGGACGTGCGTCCAACCTTGTGTGTCGATCCCCCGCGGTTGTTGTTCAGCAATCCAAGGTGCTGGCGCTGTGCGTGTACCGCGATGTGAGCGGCATGTTCACCATGGAGAGCCTGGCCACCCTGGTGCGGGAGACGCCCGTCACGCGGTGCAGCCAGGCGGAGGAGGATGCCCCCGTGGCGGAGCTCAGGTACGATGACTGCCCGCTGTAGGGCCACAGGACAACCCTCCGCAGGCGCTCGCCAGAGATTGTTGAGGTTCTTTTGCCGCTGTGAATTTTTCCGCACGATAAGCCACTTTGTCGAGCTGTCGCTTGCAGCCAGGTAGCTGCTGAAAAAAAGCGAATTGCTCTGTGGGCTTTGCCTTGCAGGATGGGGATGGTTTAGTTTCATTTGTATGTTTTTTTTAGGTGATTTATTTGCCTCTCCTGTACTTTGCACAACTGCCATGTTTTTTGTATTTTTTGTTGTTGTAAAGTTCTTACCCGTCCCTACAGATTCTTCCAGTGTAAATAAATATTCTGATTATTTTTTCGAGTGGAGCCCCCCTCTGCCAGTGTCACGATGTGTAATGACGCAATGCCCGATCAACAAATGCAAAGGAGACATTATACAGCGATACACTACGCTGCTCCTGACTCGGTTATCTGGGCTTGACCACCTGGATGTGACGTTGTAGTTTTTTGCTCTGCATCTACATCAGCAGCTGTAGGAAAAAATAAGAAGGTGGTGTGTCCGAGCGATTGCAAGAGCTGCTGCTCGTTTTGTGGTTGACTTGGCCTATCACCTTCTTCGGGTCAATAAAATGATTACCGCTTTGTGGGAGTCAGCGTTCGCGCTGTCTGGAGACTGGTTCACGTCAATGGAATTCACAATTTCCACGGGCAAGTTGAGATAATGAGCACACAGTGATCATGGAGCTGGAACACATGCAGGTTGTTTTTTTATTAGCCTGTTGATTTTATTGTTTATTTGACTTTCCTCTCACCCTGTTTGCCTCCCTGTCTGCCTGTCTATGTGCTGACCTCCCTCTCTGGTCTCATCCTTCTCTCCCTTCTATCCTACCTTCAACTAAATCTACCTTGTGAATGTACCTACCTACATCCTACTCAACCATCTTTCTTCCTCGGCTCCCTTCATTCCCTCCCCTCCCCTATCCATCCACATCTCATCTTCTCTACGCACGTCTCTACCACCTATTTTCCGCTCAACCTCCCTCGTCCTCCCCTCCGCCTGCGGCGTTCGCCCCGTCGTGACCCCCGCAGCTCCGCGGATGACGAGGAGGAGATGCTGTACGGGGAGTCGAACGCCTCCGTCTTCGGGCAGAGCAAGCGCGACGAGGCCAACCGCCCTGAGGAGGTGGCGGCTGCCAGCGCGAGGGCGCACGCGAAGGCGGCGCGGGGCCACGCGGAGCCCACGTTCTGGAGCGCGCTGGTGCGCGATAGCGGCGTCCTGGAGGTGAGCGACGGCCCGGCGCCGCCACGGCCGTCGTCGCAGGCCCACACAGCTCCCGCACAGCTCCCGCACAGCTCCCGCACAGCTCCTTCACCGATCCTCCACCGATCTTCCACCGATCTTCCACCAGTCATCCGCCGATCAGCGACCGATCCTCCACCAATCCTCGATGGATCATCCACTGATCATCCACCCATCCTCCATCTTCCTTAAACAAGTTTTATTTCCTCTTGAGCAGCCAAATTCCAATATTTGCTTCGTCCGATGTATATATATATTTTTTTATCCAATATTTGTACAAAAGGTCACAGCAAAAGTCAAAATACAAAATAACAACTCTCAGATCGAATGGATGTGGCCCATCTGTGGACAAAGTTGACATTTGTAATATTTTTCTTCGTTTTTTTTTAATCGTCAGCACATTTGTTTGGACGAAGCCGCCGCGTGACCCCACGGCACACGCAAACGCCTGGTGGGCCCCAGCGCCTCCTGTCACTCACGTCAGGGTTATGGTGGATCTCCCTTGACAGCGGGTCAAGATTCCGCTGCTCATATTTAATTTGCGGAGCCCTGACATGACCACCGTTATTGCTGTGTCCGCCGTCTCATCCGAGGGTTCTTATATAGTCGTAGCGCAGCCCAAACCGCCAGCATAACTCACAGTCTCTTGACTCCGTCACCAACCCCCCCCCCCCCACCCCATCATCACTCACCCCACGACTATTATTTGTTCATGGAATCTGCGAATCTGCAATGAGAACAACATGAGTCTGACCGAACTCGAACAGAACTGTTACCAATGGTTGAACCTAGGACACGAGAACGGAATGTGGGAACCTTATCGAGTGGTGTCGGTCGCTATGCGGAGGCGAGTTTAACTTGAACCAACTCGAATAACTATGTATTGACAAATCTTAACAAACTGTCTTACAGTCGATTGATGTTAGGCTTATCTTTGGCCTGTGGACACCCGCACAGGTGGTGCATGAAGAGCTCCTGTAAGCTCTGGCCACCTCCGATTAGCACGGTTGGCTACGAACGGTGCCAAAGACGTTCAACATACATACTTAGTCCCAGCGATCTAGAGCGCTAGAACGGACTCAACTTCTGGCACTAGGACTGAAATCACGCTTGCATTGAACTGAGCGAGATTATGTTCACATCCCTAACATCCGAAAAACAACCCAGCCACGGCACCCATGCGTCCTTACTTCCCGCCTGCCCCCCCCCCACCCGCCCTCTGTGCCGCAGATTTACCAGCTGCCCGAGTGGCGGCTCGTGTTCCTGGTGAAGAACTTCCCCGTGGGTCAGCGCGTCCTCGTGGACAGTTCCTCGGGGCAGGCCGCCGCCGTCGAGGCCAAGAAGGAGGAGGGGGCGGCGGCGCGGCAGGGGGAGATGCCGGTGGTGCACGAGCTGCTCCTCGCCGGCCTGGGGCACCGCCAATCCAAGCCCTTCCTCTTCGTGAGTCCCGCGCCGTCCAACGACGCGCCTTTTAAAGGGGGCAGGGGGCAGCCCCCTCGCGTAGGTGGTTACGCGTTGGACCGTAACTTTAAAGCCGGCGTGTTGACGTTCGGTTTCGGTCCGGCGACAAGGAACCTCAAAATGCACGGCCACGCACGGGCTCTTGTTTCGTGTGGTATTTATGTATGTGTTGAACTTTTTTTTGCACCGTACGTAGCCAACTGTACGAATGGTGTGGAGAGGTGCGGGGTTGGAAGGTGACGTTTGTACGTTCGTGTCGACGTTGGTGAGTGAGCCGGTTTGGACGGCTTCAGGAAACGCTGCCGACAATCGATCGCGGCAAACCGTGGCGTTACTGCGTAGTCAGTGTCTTGGGATGGTGTATCTGTGTGTGTGTGATACCTGCAGGTGTATGTGGACCAGGAGCTGCTCATATACGAGGCTTTTCCCTACGACTCGCTGCTCACCATCAACAACCTAAAAGTGCGCTTTAAAAAGGTAGGAGGGAGGTGCCCCCCCGTTAGTTTCATCGCAGAGCAGTCGCATTATGAAGTGACGACATTTTATGATGACAACGAGCATAAACCATCATCACTCGAACTCCGGTCATCCTCGTGGCAGCTTTTGCCGAGCCATCGAACCGAGACGGTCACAGCATCGCGCTCGTTCAGATGGGCTTCTGGAGCTGTCTGGAACTCCCTTCTGCACTGTTAAATCCAAATTGACAAGCTCATTTCTTTAGAACTGCTTTTTGTATTTAGTTGCTTGTCCTTCCCCCCGCCCGCACCTGCTATTAGCACGTTTGGTTACGTACGGCACAAAAAAAGTACAATGTACACACATACGTACAATGTGCCATTCATGGAGAGCGGCGTCTGCTGTGGCGGGGAGCTCATTGACCGAGGTCCAGCGCCACAAGACTCCCACGAGCCCCCTCATATCTGGGCTTCGAAGGCCTCAACTCCGGAGGTCTCCTGCCCAGTTCCCTGTTCACGTCGCCCAGCCGCCCCCCTTTTTGGCCCAAGAGCCGCGCGCGGGCGTTTATCGGAGCGACGCCCCTACGCGGTCTCCGCAGGTGCAGCACGCCATCACGTTCCGCGAGCGGAAGGCTCGCCCCTCCTCCCGGAAGGTCGACGGGGAGCCGGCCGGCGGTGCCGACGGCGCACAGGACGAGACGGCGGCGGTGAGGGGCCGCGTCGTCCGCTTCCGCACCTTCGACGACGTTTCGGGATACTCGGGGGTGAGGTCCGCTCCGGTGTTTTTTTATCTTCTCCGCGGTGGCTAGGAGATGTTAATTACCTCGCCAGGTATACAGGAGGTCGTGGGTTCCATCCCGACCCTGACGCCTGCTGCTGTATATTTGGGGTTTGTGTGTCTCTCTCTCATCATCATCACGGTGGCTATGAGATGTTAATTACCTCGCCTGGTATACAGGAGGTCGTGGGTTCGATCCCGACCCTTGATGCCTGCTGTATATTTGGAGTTTGCGGTGTCTCTCTCTCCCCCCGTGGTCACGTGTATTTTTCTCCGGGTCCTACGGTTTTTCCCTCCACATTCAGAAATGTGCTTTTAGAGTTTTTGGCTGCTGTAAATTTCCACGTGATAAGCCATTTTTGTTGAGCTATCACTTGTGGGCAGGTCGCTTCTGAAAAAGAGCTACATAGCTCAGTGGGCCTTACCTGGTAAAATAAAAATAGTTTAGTTTTATAAAGTTTTAGTTTCATAGTTTCATCTTTTTTTTTTTCAACACTTGGGGTTGAAAACGTCGATGCGCCATCTCTCTGCAATGCAGGGGCACGATAACTGCCGTAAAGGCGATCCAATATATTTGCTTCCCAAACCCACATTATCCAGCAGTGTGTGTGTGTTTAAGCAACTAAACTCTGGACCGGTATTTTACTTTCTGAGTCTTATCAGCAGAGCCAAGCTCTTTGAACAAATGCTGCTGGGGGCCTAGATGTTACTGGTGCCCTGTGCAGTTTAACCGAAATATTAGTATAAAGCTGTGTTGCCATTCCGGGACTTGATCTAATGGTCCTTGTCATCAATAATTAAATAATTCTGGGTACAGATGCACGCTAGAAAGCGCGACAGAAATTCCTGCGCGCGTTATTTTTCATCCTTGCCTAAGGCGAGGAATACACAAAAAAAACATTACTTGACCCTCGCGTTCGCCCGTTGCTGCTGCGCTTTGGGCAGGTGTTCATCTGTGGGCCCTTCCCCCACTGGGTGTTCATGACGTCGCGAGGAGCCCTCCGCATGCACCCCATGCACATCGACGGACCCATCGAGTCCTTCGCCGCTTTCCACAACGTCAACTGCCCCAGAGGATTCCTCTACTTCAACAAGCGGGTGAGCTGCTTGCCTGCTGATGCTGCTGGTGGGTTCTGCTGGTGCTGCTGGTGTTGCTGGTGTTGCTGTTGCTGCTGGTGGTGCTGCTGCTGGTGCTGCTGGTGTTGCTGGTGTTGCTGGTGGTGCTGGTTGTGCTGGTTGTGCTGGTGATGCTGCTGGTGCTGCTGGTGTTGCTGTTGCTGCTGGTGCTGCTGGTGCTGCTGGTGTTGCTGGTGTTGCTGGTGCTGCTGCTGGTGCTGCTGGTGTTGGCGGTGTTGGTGGTGTTGCTGGTGCTGCTGGTGCTGCTGGTGTTGCTGGTGTTGCTGCTGGTGCTGCTGGTGCTGATGGTGTTGGTGGTGCTGCTGGTGCTGCTGGTGCTGCTGGTGCTGCTGGTGCCGCCACCACTTGTTAATTTCTGGTTCATCATCGCGCAAAGGTGTTGTGCTGCTCACGCACAGCAGCACACAACACCTTGAACTAAGTTGCTTTATTATCAATATAAAGTAAGCTAAGGTAGCCGGAACTCCCCAATCGCATTGGATTAGGCTGAGAATATTGCGATCACATGAAAGTCATGCAAGGTGTGATGGGAGTCGTACCTTCCCGCTGTTTGCAAGCAACATGCTTTTCTTTATTGTTGTTCTTTAACCTATTTTTTTCCACGTTGCGATGAGTGACAGTGTCACTAAGGCAGTTCCCAAAGTTGCTTTTCGGTTCATCGTCATTCTCAGTTCACACCCGCTATCCAATCAACGGTGTCGCCAAGGCAAAGACAAGGCAAAGATCTACAATATTAACTCGCTGGAACACACCGTGCTTATTAGAACGATCCCCCATTCTCTCATGCCGACTTCTACCTTTGTACGGCGATTCCGTTACTTCGGCAAACCCCGCGTGTAACGGTCGTACGCGCAGCCAGACATCCAATCATCGTTCGTGTTTTTACAGTGCGCACTACACACAGTACGTGTGTATGCGCCATGCAGTACGTTGTACTGTTCATTGAGTACACAGGTACCCGTGCGTAATGTTTTAATTTTGCGTTGTGACCGGGAGACATGTACATATACTGTAACTAGCTGTACTACCCGGCTTCACCCGGGACTTAGATCCACCACGCGCGGCCGCCTTTGTCTCCCCAGTGGTGATGTTCACACACCACACCAGTTACTCGTTTGAGGCTGAGTCGACCTAGGGGAGGCCCAGGAGCGGTTGAAATAATCGTCACCGGTGGTAGCCGTGAGCGGGCATCGAACTCGGGTCGCCGGGTTCGTTGCGCGGCGCGCTAGCCACTACACTACAATGCGTTACGCTTCCACATGCGCGGGTCACATGACAGATTGGACGTCACAGCTCACAGTCTGTTGAGGCTATACGGGGGATCTTTGTCTTGTCTTTGAAATGTATATGTACAAATGTATGCATGTTGAACTTCTTCCGCACGGTACTTAGCCAGCCGTGCAACTGCATTATTACATAAAATAATATGGTTCATTCCATTATTTTATGCATAATGCACCTCATCCATTACGCATCAAATGATATGGTTCATTCAAGAACGATAATTAGAAAGGCCTCTTTGGCTCTGCACGTTGTCTTACTTCGGGAGGAAAAGGCCGTGCCGTTTTGCTGGTTTGGGACGCGCGGCTTTGTGCACTGCTCCTCTCGGCTTTGCACCGCGCGCTGCCACGGCGTCTCCTGCCGTCGAGCTGCGCCGCCGTCTCTGGTATAATAAAACCTGCGGCCTCGCTCGCTCGCTCGCTCGCTCGCTCGGTGGTCGGTCGGCCGTGCCGTGCCACGCAGCGCTTGAGTCACGTGGCCGGCGCCCTGCGTTCGCAGGGAGACTTGCGAATCAGCGTCCTGCCGACGCACCTCTCCTACGACTCGTCGTGGCCGCTGCGCAAGATCCCGCTGCGCTGCACGCCGCACCACATCGTCTACCACGTCGAGTCCAAGGTGCGCGACGCTGATCTTTTGCGCCGGTTTCTCTTCGCTTCGTTGCCGTGCTCTTGATTCGGTTTGTTTTTGCTTTCATCAATTTTGGTGATCCAGGTCACGCTTTCAAATGAGACTGCTCCTGGTCTCGTGACTTCTCACCCTACCTGGTGAATCTAAACTTAACTACACTTGGCAAGGCAGTGGATTGACAATGGGCTGTACGTTATTATTATTAACCACAAACATTGCTTAGGTGTCTTTTCCCAAACAGTGCGGATAACGGAGCACACTGCTCTAAGGTTACTGGAGTAGTGTAGCAATCTGTAACAGGTGATTTTTTTAAAACAGTGCTTTTAACACTGCACTCGGGAGTTGGCGTGAGTTGCCCACGACTCCTTTGTGATTTCCTGCCCCCATGTCACTCATACGGTGACGACCAAGTCGCCTGAAATGCAACCCTGAAGCTAAGCAGTGTTGAGCCTGGCTAGCGCTTGCGTGGGTGTGACGCCAATGCACAAACTCGCTGCCGTAAGGTGGCGACCGTGAGGATGTGCCACGATGTGAGCGGCGAAGGGCGGCACTGCTGCCAAATCCGTCGTCGTATCAGGCGGTTCGGTGCTCCCCCATGTCGACGCGCCCTGGGCCTCCCAGCCAACTCCGCGCCAACCAACGCCGGCCGAGTGTTGTCGGTCGAACATCTGCCACGACCCGCGCGTCTGGGGCGGCCGTCATCCAGCAGCGGATCGATCGATGACAAAGGCTTGCTCGCGTTGCTGTCGCTGTCCTCCTGGATGTTGTGTGCCGGCGTGCGAAGGTGTTCGCCGTGACCACGAGCGTTTTGGAAATTTGCAACCGCATCCCGAGGATGAGCGGCGAGGAGAAGGAGTTTGAGATGGTGGACAGAGGTGCGTGCGTCTGCATGCGTGTGTGCGTGCACTGGAGTGGTCTTGGGAAGCGATAGTGTAGCGGTTAGCGCGCTGCGCTGCGAACCCGACTACCCCAGTTCGATTCTCTCTCACGGCCAACATCAGTGACGATTATCTGAACCGGCCCTGGGCCTCAGCAGATAATGTCCACTTGACACAAACAAATTTAAGGTTTTTATTTACGCTTTGCATCATCCACAAGGCCTTGTGGGATTGCATAATTTCAGTAGCATTGGTTCAGTACAGGTAAACTCTGGACCAGTGTCGGCATGCAATTTATCATCGGCAGAGTCGGGCTTGCTTGAACCAATGCTGGTGAGCTTCCAGATGTTATAGGCAAGGACCCTGTCGTAAAGATATATGGTGTTATTTTGTTACGCAAATTTGTAATACATGACAACATATATTCTCCCCAAAGATGCTCATGATTGTTTTGCTATCAGATCTAGAAAGGCAAATGGGGTTACACGTGCAATAGCTAACCATCGAACAAAGACGGGCAATGCATCGCGATCTTAGGAAGCCATTGGATCCATGCACTTTTGAATACTCTAGATTGAAAACCCATTTCTTTACAACTGCTTTTTGTGTTTAGTTTGTCGTCCTTCCCCTGCACCTCCGATTAGCACGTTTCCCTACGTACGGTGCGAAACAAGCTCGACATACATGCATATGACCACCGTGTGTAACAGGTGTTATAATGATGGGGGGGGGGGGTGCTATGTTGTGGGCAGCAAAGGGCAGCGCAGCAACATCCTACGCTCCCACGTCTGTGCCTCCACGCCTTGACCGAGGCCCTACAGACTTGGGAACACACGCGCTGGCGCCGATTACGATTTCGGCGAGTGGTTTTCCTCCCTTGCGCAGACGAGCGGTTCATCTACCCTACCCAGGAGAAGTTCTCCATTCAGCTCATTTCGCCCGTCAGCTGGGAGACCATCCCTAACACCAGGTGTGTACCGTAGCGTGCTGCTCGGCACATGAAAGCCGCCTTCTGTCTCTTCGTTCGCGTGGTTCCCACGGATCGGTGCTGCCCAGCGATTAGGAGCTAGTGGTCTGGGAGTGAGTGTGTGTATGTGTATGTACGTACGTATGTATGTTGAACTTCTTTCGCACAGAGTGCAGCCGACTGTGCTAATCGGAGGTGCGGGGTTGTGTTCCCATGGATTCCAAGAGCAACACTGAACCATTGAGAATCTCGCTATAGTGATAATAATTTAGTTTGTTTTGGATTTGCGTCATTCGTTTAAAATAAAACTTAACAATTGTTTTACTTTTTCTTTTTATTCTACTAGGTAAAGCCCACTGAGCTATACAGCTCTTTTTCAGAAGTGACCTGGCCACAAATGATAGCCCAACAAAGTGGCTTTTCGTGTGGAAATGTATCGCAGCTAAATGCTCGAAACGCATGTTTTCTAAATGCGGAGGGAAAAACCGGAGGACCCGGAGAAAAATCAACACGTAGCAATCTGTCTAGCAATCGATAAAACATGTTATAGCCCAGGCGCTCTATATGGAAGGTGACGGGACAGCGGGGCAGAGTGACATCAACACCAGCTGCTTTGTGCTCGTGGTCACGGGCCGCAATCGGTTTCCCGGAGTTGCCATCGTTTCCAAAGGGACCCCGAGGCCTAACCAACCCCAAAAAGAGCGGTCGATTACAATTATTTTTGTTATATTAACGAATCGACTCGCCTCGCCTTCCAGAATCGACCTGGAGGACTGGGAGCATGTGACGTGCCTCAAGAACATCTCCCTGAAGAGCGAGGAGACCGTGTCGGGAGTCAAGGGGTACCTGGCGGCCGGGACGTGCCTGGTTCATGGCGAGGAGGTCACCTGCCGAGGCAGGGTACGTGCGGGACGGCGGAGGCCCCTGCGCGTTTCTAAAGCGCAAGGGGCCTCCCATGGTCTGCCAGCACGAGGTGGGGTCACAAAGACAAAGATCCCCCGGATAGCCTTGACAGACTGTTGGGGCAAGTGCTGTTAGCGAGCACCTATGAAGGCCGGAACGGCACACGAGGGGTTGGGTGGCCAGCACCACGCCCGTCCGCCATTGTCTCCCTCGTGTTTTTACACATCGCACCAAGTACTCAATTAAGGCTTAGTCGACCTAGGGGAGGAGGCCCAGGGCAGGTTCAGATGATTGTCACTGGTGTTGGCCATGAGCGGGAATCGAACTCGGGTCGCCGCGCACGCGTGCATGCACGATAAAACACGCTGCACTTCAGTCGGGACAATACACATTAACTCCCGGAGCACGTGGAAAAATGTTCAAACGCCGGGGTACTCATTAACGGGCGACTGAATACATCGTCTCGACATCGCCAAGCACCTACAAAGATTGTTTAATATTCTCTCTCTCTCAGTTGGTTAGGTAAGGGTCATTGCCTCCGTCCGTACCCACCCCCTCTCCCCACCCCATCGACCGATACACCGCCAAACGTCTTGCCGCTTTGGGGGCCACCGAGCGCAAGATGAGGGTTTAAGGATTACGATTTTTCTTTTACAGTTCGCCTTTCGTCTCACCTCATCCGTTCCAGTGCCCTGCTGCCATGTAGCAAAGTTCGGGACCCCCAGTGGGCAAGCTCGTCTCTGTGCGGCGCAAATTGCCCACGGCACCGGCCTGCACGCGGGCACTGAGGCTGCCAGGGTGTGCGCAACTCAGCGGCCCCGTATCGTCCTCCTCCTTCGCCGTAGATTCTCATCATGGACGTGATCGAGGTGGTGCCGGAGCCCGGGCAGCCCATCACCAAGAACAAGTTCAAGGTCCTGTACGAGAAGGAACAGAAGGGGCCCGTGACCGCCCTCTGCCACTGCAATGGGTTTCTCGTCTCGGCCATCGGGCAGAAGGTGGGGGACGCTTCTCTTCCACCGCACAAACCAGGCCGGGCCGTGCCGGGATCGTGCCGGGCTGGCTCGGCACGGCTCGGGGGAGTGCCGGGTTGTCGTTGTCGTCATTGTTGTCGTTGTCGTCATCGTTGTCGTTGGTTTTTCCGTGGCAGAACCCGAACTGTACCGCCCCGTTATCGCCGAAAGTTAACGAATGGAGCTGCGCGTAGGCGACGCGGTGACGCCCCGTGCTGGCTGATGTCACGTCACGCGCGATGAGCGCCCCGTTCACGCCTGGCCCTGGCCCTGGCCCTGACCCCGTTCACGCCTGGCCCTGGCCCTGCTGTGCCCCCGAGACAGTTTTTGTTTCTCTATCTGCCTGTCGAGTTTTTTTTTATCACGGGAATGTCTTCCCATACAATGAAACCAATCAATGGCAGCTGACCTCATGCACCAAGCTGGATACTAGAAATAGCACCTGGAGACCCGAAGTGCAGGTTTCCTGCGTAAATAATGAACAAGAATGATTTAACATCCCCCTTGCCAATCCACTCGCTGCGGGACGAAGGCCTTCCCGACACCTCAACGGCAATTGCGGCGTTTCTCTGACGTTACTTTGCTACCCTGGTCGGTGCAAGCCTTAATCCAGCAGTGGGTAGATCATGGCGGATGATGATGATGACGATGAACAATAAGGTATTGTTTAATTAGTTATACATTGGTCTGCACGGCTCTCCTCTTGGTCTTCCGAGGAAGCCTGTCCGTTTACTAATTCTTTTGCACGACATATTACCGCAGCATTTCCATCAATATTTACACCGTCGAGAGAACATATCGACTGCCTTCTAAAGTAAAACCTCGAAAACTTACAATGGGAAAAAAAAACCACGGCACCGCTCGAGCACGCAGCATTTTCGCCTGCAAGTATTCCGTACCACCCACCTGCCCCGCTGCCAACACATTAATCATTTGACTTTTGTGTGCATTGCGGAGTCTGCTTAGCGCCAAATAAACAATGAGGCTGGCAGATCCCCAATATCGTTGGGCCGCGCCGCGTACGGCCAAGCGCGGCAATGCCACCGCCAAGCTCGCGGTGGGGGGGGGGGGGTGGGGGCTTCGCTCGAGCTCCGCCGCTCCTTATTTTGTTTATCGCGACCGGCCGGACGACAGTTGCGAGCCTGTACAAGCCCGTGCGCGGTTGCTCGCGTTTTGCGTGGGAACGCAACGACGGTGCGCCGCTGTAGGGTGCGGACAATGAGCCGCGACTACCCCGGCTAGCGCGGGCTCCGGAAACAAAGTGGAAGGCTGAGAGGTGCTGGCACCCGCACGGAGTGATTTTAATTATTAATTTATTTCAAAATTACACTTCGCACGGAGCCCTGCGTGTGTATGTGTGTATATGTTCCGTGTGTATGGTGGGGAGCGGTAGTGTAGCGGTTATCGCGCTGCGTTACGAACCCTGTGACCCGAGTTCGATTCCCGCTCATGGCCAACGGCAGTGATGATGATCCCACCGGTCCAGAGCCTCCCGTACTTGAGTACCAGGTACTCACGTACGGGAAGACAAAGATGGTCAGGCACCCCCTCGTGTGCCGTGCCGACTTTAATAGGTGCTCAGCACTTGCCACAACAGTCTGTTTAAGGGTATTTGGGGGACCTTTAGACCATAATGCCCCACGTTGCCCAGTGTGGGTTGGGATATCACACGCGACTGATTGTAACTGTGGCACGGAGCCATCAGTGGTAATGGTTACACACCGCACCAGATACTCATTTAATGCCGAGTCGACTTGGGGGAGTCCCAAGACAAGTTCAAATATTCGCCACTGTTATTGGCCGTGAGCGGTATCGAACTTGGGTAGCGCGGTTCATAGCGCAGTCCGCGAATTCGCCACTGCGCATAATTTGTGTAAATTGTAAATATTCTTAGACATCATGATTGGGTGAATGTATCGTAAACACAAGAAGTGATTTATAATTGATAAATCAATGACTTAAGTTCTCATTGCTTTCTTCCCTGCCATATTAAATCCTTTTTAATGCAGACATGATTGTGGCCAGTCTGTGTTTTCACCTGAACATGTACCCCTCCCTCCCTCCCTCCCTCCCTCCCTCCCTCCCTCCCTCCCTCCCTCCCTCCCTCCCTCCCTCCCTCCCTCCCTCCCTCCCTCCCTCCCTCCCTCCCTCCCTCCCTCCCTCCCTCCCTCCCTCCCTCCCTCCCTCCCTCCCTCCCTCCCTCCCTCCCTCCCAGACAATGTTTTTCCCCCAGGACTGTGCACAGAAATAGCCCTCTCCCTTCTTTCTCCCCCCCCCCCATCTATATTTTTCCCCAACCAATAATTTCCCCTTGGTTCAGTTTATTAAGGGAAGTGGCCTTGGTGTAACGGTAAGCGCGCTCGACGTAACAATTCAGAGGTCGCCGGTTCATCCTCTTGGCGCAGCAGTTAAAATAATGGGCAAGTTTCTTAACACCCCCCCCCCGCACACCGCCTCACCCCTCCCCACCTGCCCCCACTTTCCCCCCCTTTCTTTCCTCCAGAGGACGTCCACCGATGAGACAGATCGATGAAATCGTCCTGCGCGTGGGTGCAAGGCAAACAATTGCGTCGCTGGATGGAAAAATGTGGCAATCGGCTTGGGGGAGGTTTCCTTCATCCAACAGTGGATTGATCATGGCTGATGACGACGATGACGGCGATGTTGACGTTTTAGCTGTTGTTGCTACTCGTTGACAGATCTTCCTGTGGAGCCTCAAGAACAACGAGCTGCAGGGCATGGCCTTTATCGACACGCAGCTCTACATCCACCAGATGATCAGCATCAAGAACTTCATCCTCGCCGCCGACATCATGAAGAGTGTCTCGCTGCTGCGCTACCAGGAGGACAGCAAGACGCTCTCCCTCGTCAGCCGGGTAAGGTCTCCGCGCTAGTATCGTCAACATCATTGTCATCGTCATAATATCATAATCTTAATCATGTTTAGTTTAATACGGCGTCGTTCATGCAAATCACATCTCACATTTGCTGCGGAAGCATAGTAACGAGCTGCAAGGCAGCCCAGGTGGTGAGCCGTTGCTGCCGACAATATCCCGTTCTCGAGTCGTATATGTTGTTAAAGCATTATAATAGTAATTTTTGCATTTCTATGCGTTACTTTGTTTAACAAAGTGACAACTGGGGACTGGATGAGTCTCATTTGCAAAAGTGACCTGGGGCATTAGTCTGCTAGTAGCGGGCGATAATTGCGTATCAATTCAGTCATTTGTTGCGTATCAATTTTAACAGGAAATGACATCACGGATTGCCATGGTAAATGAACAACCGTCTTCTGGACCGACTATATCAGCTGAGGAACAGTCTAACAAAAAAATAAATCGTTAATATCAAAAGTAGAAAAATAAAATGCAACATACTCCGTATATATATTTTTTTCAATTTAAATTAACATGCCATCTAAATAAACAGATGCGGGTTTTTAAAGACATTGACAGGATTGAGTGTTCGATGCAGACGAATGAGAATTGATGAGCCCTACTCTGGCTGTTGCCTTCCAGGATGTGAAGCCACTGGAAGTGTACGGGATTGAATTCATGGTGGACAGCTCTCAGATGGGCTTCTTAGGTGAGTGACGCGCACACGGTCAGTCGCGGGCGTACTTAGCCTCCCCGGCTCCGTACTGTCGTGGCCAATCTTTTCTACTCCGTCCTTCACAGGTGCTGCTCGCCAACAGCACTTGCCCCGGCAGTCTGTTGAGGCTATACAGGGGATCTTTGTCTTTGTGTGTGTGTGAACGAACACACGCACACTGCTGTTGCCCCCGGTTCCGTTTCGTCCGCACGTCGTTGCTGTTGCGGCTGAATGAACGCTTCCCACCGCCTCCCTGCTCCTGAATCGTGACTCGTCGCTTCTGATGACTCCCAGACTTCTTATTTTGTTTCAAATTATTTGGTGATGTCGCTGCTGCTGCTGCTGCTGCGTTGGCAGTGTTGCGCGAGCACCAATAACAGAACGACTCGCGCGTTCGTCAGTAGCAACACCGTAGCCTTGCAAGAAAAATATTATGATGGGCGACGTTTCTCTGGCTCTCTTTGTGCTATGAACAAGGGTCATCAACGCCCGACCACCTTTGTCTCTCCAGTGGCGATGTTTACATCCCGCACCAGGTACTCATTTGAGGCTGAGGCGACCTAGAGAATGCTCATGGTGTTGTCCATGAGTGGGAATCGAATTCGAGCTACCGGGTTTGTAGCACAGGCCGCTAACCGCTGCACCACCGCTCCCTGTATGACATACACTGCGCACTTAGCTGCTGCATTGAATGTGGAATGAACACTTGGAACGTATTGATGTGCGTTAACAACCTCGTGCCAAAACCATCCCCAAAGAGAGTGGGATTGGCCAAACGTGCCGAAAAGTACATTTTACGGAAGTGAGTTAATTCTAAGACCCGGCGAGTCGCTCATCGGTAATGCACTTTAACGATTACAAAAGTATCAACAATAGAATATCACAATAGGATGCGGGACTATTATAGCCACCACCGTGCAATGTGGATATGGGGGAGCCTGCAGTGCGTTAAGTAATATACCGAGGCTGTAATAAATCACGGAAAGTTCAGCTCCCCGGTGATTTTGGTCGGCAGTCAGGTGGTCGTGCGGTAGCTCGCTCGCCGCCAAGACGAACCCCCGCGCCTGCTTTCCCGCGGCCCTCGCGAGCCACTGCGGTGATGGATGATGCCGCAGCAGCAGCAGCAGCAGCGTTGGGTATCGCAGAGCGCGCGTCCCGCTCGCAGAGGGATGTTGAGCCGGCGGCTCCCGTCTCTCCGCGTGCGCGCATTGAAGCCGAAGGAATATAAAACCCTGCTCCGAAATGAGCTCTCCGGCCACGTCTGCCGCCGTCTTTTTTTGCGGCGGTTTTTTTTTTTTTTTAGAAAACTCGGGCAATTAAAACCCTACGGTCAAGGTTCCTCGCACGGGGGAGGAGGCAAGGTGGGGGGGGGGGGGTAGCCGGTTGGGGGGGGGGAGCGGCGCCGCCGGGCAGGGTGTGGGGGCCGGTTCCGTGAGCCTGCACTAATGCACCTTATTGGCGCGTTCGCTGCCCGCGCGCGATTTTTGTTTTGCCAGTCTACCGACTGCGCAAATAGACCGCTGCTCTTTTTGGCAACAAATTGCTTACTTGCCCACCCTCACGGATTTAACGCCGGTCAGGTCTGCGTGCCGCTGTTGCCTGGTGAGAAGCGGCGGGAGTTCTGGGCCGCGATTGGCGGGGCGGGGAGCGGGGGGAGACTGTGTGGCGGCGGGGGATGCGGGATGCGGGGTGGGGGTGGTGTGGGGTTGTTCGTCTGCGGCAGCGTCGCGCTGCAGCAGCAGTAGCAGCAGCAGCAGCGTCAGCTGGTGTGAATTTTTCAAATTCCTCGCGGCGGCAGGTAGGGATGCGGGGCCGTAATGAGACTCGGCACCGTGCATAGCCAGCCGTGGCCACTGCAGAAAATATAATAATCGCTCGTGCGCGAAGTGGCACGGGGTAGGCGAGGGAGCCGGGTGGGCGGGGCGGGGGGTGAATGAGGGCTTTATCACCGGACGGGGGTCCCAGCCTCCTCCTCGCGGCCGTCGGACCGCGACAGGCGTTTGAGGTTTGGAGCAAAGCGGGTCGCGCTCGAGCTGAATCTCGGACTAATGAGACGGCAAAATAAAGCGCGCGAGTCTCGTCGCGGCGTGATCCCGCACCGCGGAGGCCCGGCGGCGATGGCTTTAATTTACACTCGCGCTCTTTCTCACGCTGTTCCTCGGGAAAAAAGCGTGAGTTTGCGGGAGACGTATCTCATAGCCGCTAGAAGTTTGCTTGATTCCCCCCCCCCCCCCCTCCGTGAGCATTTTTTGTCGTACTCTTTCCTATGCCGCAGAGTGTGTGGGCTACGCTCGTTATAGGCACTTAGTTTCTGTTGTGTATTCCTAAGGAACCCTTTGTTCCCTGCGTGGATTATTAAAAGAGCAATTAGTAACGATGTGCTACGTGCTGTAAATGTTGCCGCTCCCCACGTGTGCGTTGTTTACCGAGAGATCCAAGCGCAACACAAATTGGCCGGCAAAATAAATGTGGAAGCCAAAATAGACGCAGATATACAATTCGAAACATTTCACACGCACCTACTAACCTACCGACCTATCTACCTGCATATTTTCCTGCCTATCTACCCACCTACCTACCTAGCTACGTATGTACCTACCTACCTACCTGCCTACCTACTTGCCTACCCACTACCTACCTGCCTTTCTTACCTACCTACCCACCCACCTACCTACCTAATTCCCTCCCCACCTACCTACCCACCTAATAATAATGATAAACTCAGTTTGAAAAAAGTGCTTTTCAAATTGCTACTTACTTACTTTCCTGTCCTACCTAATTACTCACCTAACAATAAACCAACTTACAGTGAGGGAAAAAAAAGTATTTGATCCCCTGCTGATTCTGTACGTTTGCCCACTGACAAAGAAATGATCAGTCTATAATTCTAATGGTAGGTTTATTTGAACAGTGAGAGACAGAATAACAACAACAAAATCCAGAAAAACGCATGTCAAAAATGTTATAAATTGATTTGCATTTTAATGAGGGAAATAAGTATTTGACCCCTCTGCAAAACATGACTTAGTACTTGGTGGCAAAACCCTTGTTGGCAATCACAGAGGTCAGACGTTTCTTGTAATTGGTCACCAGGTTTGCACACATCTCAGGAGGGATTTTGTCCCACTCCTCTTTGCAGATCTTCTCCAAGTCATTAAGGTTTCGAGGCTGACATTTGGCAACTCGAACCTTCAGCTCCCTCCACAGATTTTCTATGGGATTAAGGTCTGGAGACTGGCTAGGCCACTCCAGGACCTTAATGTGCTTCTTCTTGAGCCACTCCTTTGTTGCCTTGGCCCTGTGTTTTGGGTCATTGTCATGCTGGAATATCCATCCACGACCCATTTTCAATGCCCTGGCTGTTTCTCACCCAAGATTTGACGGTACATGGCCCCGTCCATCGTCCCTTTGATGCGGTGAAGTTGTCCTGTCCCCTGAGCAGAAAAACACCCCCAAAGCATAATGTTTCCACCTCCATGTTTGACGGTGGGGATGGTGTTCTTGGGGTCATAGGCAGCATTCCTCCTCCTCCAAACACGGCGAGTTGAGTTGATGCCAAAGAGCTCCATTTTGGTCTCATCTGACCACAACACTTTCACCCAGTTATCGTCTGAATCATTCAGATGTTCATTGGCAAACTTCAGACGGGCATGTATATGTGCTTTCTTGAGCAGAGGGACCTTGCATGCACTGCAGGATTTCAGTCCTTCACGGCATAGTGTTGTTACCAATTGTTTTCTTGGTGACTATGGTCCCAGCTGCCTTGAGGTCATTGACAAGATCCTCCCGTGTACTTCTGGGCTGATTCCTCACCGTTCTCGTGATCATTGCAACTCCACGAGGTGAGATCTTGCATGGAGCCCCAGGCCGAGGGAGATTGACAGTTCTTTTGTGTTTCTTCCATTTGCGAATAATCGCACCAACTGTTGTCACCTTCTCACCAAGCTGCTTGGCAATGGTCTTGTAGCCCATTCCAGCCTTGTGTAGGTCTACAATCTTGTCCCTGACATCCTTGGAGAGCTCTTTGGTCTTGGCCATGGTGGAGAGTTTGGAATCTGATTGATTGATTGCTTCTGTGGACAGGTATCCTTTATACAGGTAACAATCTGAGCTTAGGAGCACTCCCTTTCAGTGTGTGCTCCTAATCTCAGCTCGTTACCTGTATAAAAGACACCTGGAAACCAGAAATCTTTCTGATTGAGAGAGGGTCAAATACTTATTTCCCTCATTAAAATGCAAATAAATTTATAACATTTTTGACATGCGTTTTTCTGGATGTTTTTGTTGTTATTCTGTCTCTCACTGTTCAAATAAACCTACAATTAAAATTATAGACTGATAATTTCTTTGTCAGTGGGCAAACGTACAAAATCAGCAGGGGATCAAATACTTGTTTCCATCACTGTACCTACCCATCCACCTACCCTGCCTGTTTACTTACCCACTTACCTTCCTACCCGCCTACTTACCCATTCACCTACCTGCCTACTTTTTACCGACCCACCTACCTATCCATCTACCTACCTAACCACCCACCTATCTACCTGCCTACTTGCCCACCGAGCTACCTACATACCTATCCACCTGCTTATCTACTCTTGCGAGTTAAGCTCAGGGGATCTTTAACACCCACGGTAATAGAGGCAGACGGTGTGCGGTGTCGTCACGGTGATTGCGCGCCGCAGACATGACCAGGGCAGCCGATGGATTCAAATCGCGAACCTCTGCACCAAACTCCGAGCCGACAGGCCACGCCACCCTTAACCCTATTATTATCCTCCAGCGCAAATCCTTTGAACAGCAACAACAAACGACAGCAGCAGCAGCAGCAACAACAACAACAACAAAGCCAATGTGTCACTGACACCACCTGGGCCCGTTGTGAGCCCTTCCCTTAACCGTGCTACATATACACGTGGGTGTTTTGTTCTGACCGTAATGGTATGTGAAATTAAATGAACCAAAACCACCACTGCAAGTGTTGACATTAAAATAAAATGCGATGTTTCTCACCTGAAGCCTGTCTCACCCCATTTCTCCTCTCCGTTTCAGTGTCCGACCGAGAGAAGAATCTGATAATCTACACGTATCAACCCGAGGGTGAGTTGTAATCGATGCTGAGTTGCTTTTTAAGCACTTTTAACTATAACAAGGGCAACGGAGCGGATTCTTGAAATGCGCTGTGCAGTGGGGGGCGGGGTGGGGGGAACCAGTGGTGGTGGGGGGGGGGGGTGGTTAGGCGGGGTGTGGGGGTGGTGGTGCGCGTCGGTTGTGGCGCGGAGGCAGCTTCAGGTAAAAATAACGGGGAAATAAAAATAAAAACGCAAAACAAACTCGGCCGCACGCGGAGCATCGACTGGCACGTGTGGCTCCCTGCGTGCGTGCCTGCCTGCCTCCTCGCTGTTGATAGAGGGGAGGGAGGCGGCGGTTGTAAATACTGCTGACGCGGGCGCTACGTCGCGGCGGCGCGTCTCGTTTGATGCTCCGCGCTGGGCGCGTAGCGGCGACGCCGCTGCGGTTTGGTGGAGGGTGGGGGCGGGGGGAGGGTGGGAGGTGGTGGGCGGGGGGGGGTTTGTGGTTTCGACGCCGTGCGTTATAATGACCCGGGTCGTGACGCACGCCAGACGCAACACTCCGCCGCTCCGCTGCCCTGGGCCGTGCTTTGCCGCTCTCCGACGCGCGTTCTCCCCCCACCCCCGCCCTCCCTTATCGGCGCGCGGATTTTCCGCGCGAGGGCGACGAGGGTTTTTTTTTGCGGGCCAATGCTGCGGCTGAAGCGATGGGACAGATGCTGGGAGTGCGCGGGTGAGGAGGGAGGAGCCGCGAGGGAGAGCTAAGGGCGTGGGGTGTGCAGTGGCTCCTGATCACAATGACGATGATGATTGTGGTGATGACGAAGATGACAAGACGATCATGACCACGATGATTGAAGATGATGATGATGATGTCATTTTTTACACTGCAGTCACACCGTTTTCTACACTACACACTCCACATCCGCCTATTAACTGTGCACCTTCACAGATGAACGGAGTTGATTGGAAAATTCATCCTGTTATCATTTACTTGTAATGGTTGACCAACTGGAATTACAAATGCAGAGGTCACCGGTTCCATTCAATCTCCCGGAGTGGCAGCTGAAACAATGTTGTAAATGTATTAAATCCACCCCTCACTGCCTCTTTACACCCAGCAGTGTCAATGAGTTCACCACAGTTAGTCGATGAAAATAAAGGTTTTTGGATTAGATCGTGTAAATATAAATGTGTTGTTAAACCCGCCACCAGCAGACACAGCCAATTAGTAAGGTTTGTCACGTAAACAAAACATGCCAATTCGTCACTTGTACAGCACCGCAACATTTACCGTTCGAGTACGACGTTTCACCGGTAATTGCAACCAGCCCATCAGGCGGCAGCTCTATTATGGATAATATTTGGTCGCGAAAGCCGACAGTCGATCAGCAGGTCGTGTGTTGTGGGCTGAAGTGCGGGGTACTCCCACCTCTTACAAACGTTGTCAGAAAGGGCAGCATCTTGCGATGCAATCACACGCAGAGACGCTCTGTGAGTCCAAATTAGATTTGATTAATACGCAAAGCTTCCTACGGCACCGCAATGCAAGAAACCCCATTCAATGAAATACAAAATACCCTCTGGAGGGGCTCTTCCAGCAGCAGTGGCATGGGAAAGACTATTAACTCTTTTATTTCACAAGGTACCGCCCACTGAGCTATATAGCTCTTTTTCAGAAGCGACCTGGCCACGAATGATGTTTATCATCATGTGGAAATTTATAGAAGCCAAATGCTCGCAACGCACGTTTCAGAATTTGTAGGGATAAACCGAAGGACGCAGAGAGAAAAAACACGACCACAGGGAGAGAGAGAGAGAGAGACACGCAAACTCCAAATATATAGGTGTGGTTGTCGGGATTGAACCCACGACCTCCTGTATACCGGGCGAGCTAGTTAACATCTCACCACCGTGGCGCCAATGATCATCGGGAAGTCGGCAGGATTTGTGGGGCCGTGGGGGCTGCAGCTTTACCTTCGCCGCAGCGCCCGAGATTTTGTGCTGCCAAGATAGCGCAAATGGGCACTGTTAAAAAACGCAATGCAAGGGACGCCCGGGTTTTTTCCCTGTGCCACTCGGCAAAGCGCCGCACGCGAGCCCGGCGCATCACCAAAAGGTTTGATTGCTTTCGTTTGGTGGTGGCCTTATTTTGTTGCTGTTGGTAATGATTTGCGGCCTGGCAGGCCGTGAGAGCGGCTGCTGTCTTAAGGGTAAGGGGGTGGAGGGGGGGGGCGCTGCTGACTTGAGCACATTTTTATCCCAGGCGCGTGCGCCCTACAATTAATTGAGATTTGAAGATGTCGCAGCCGAAGCGCTGTTGTGTGAGTGTGGGGGTGGGGTGTTGGGGGGTTGGTTTGAGAGTGGTGGTGGGGGGGGGGATGGGTGGTGAGATGTTGACTCATTAGACTAAGATAAATTACTCTCTGCCATTTGAAGCTGGGGAAAAAAAAAAGATCCGTGCACGGCTGCGACACCCATTTTTTTTTTTTAAAGCTGCGCTAGTTTGAGATACTGATCGCCCCTTCCCGTTCGTGTGTTAATAACCGCACAGTGTGTTCCAAGATATTGTTGTTTATACGCTTTGTAATGCTGTAATGTGCTATTAAATGTACACTATATGGTATGCGACTTTGATGCACACTCATTCATTTGGGGGCAGCTGGGGTCAGCACAGATCCATCATAATCATCATCATCGTCACCACTACCCACAGCCAGAGCCGTCTCTGGAGTACGGTGAATCAGGGTGACTGCCCCGGGCCCCGCGCTCTGGGGGGCCCCGCGCTTCAACGTCACGCTATCAGATGCAATAATTCCAGTTGAGTTTGAACTCTGTCCCCCGCATCCCCCCCCCCCCCCTCCTCCATGGACGGGTCTGCCCACAGCTTGGCCACCACCACAACCACCATCATCATCATGTTCATCGATAGCACAAGCGTCATCGTCGTCATCATCCTCTTCCATCCATCCGCCGTCGGTAGACTTAGCATCGCCCGGCGAGGCTGCCTGTGACCAAATGACCCGGAGCGTGCCCGATCCCCATCAGACCTCGCATGCTAAGTGGGGTTGAGCCAGGATAGCATTTGCAGGACGGGCGACCCACCATGCGCAAGAGACGGGTGCGGGAGGCGTAGTGCTCAGCAGAGTGCCGTGCAGCAAAATCAATTGCTGTTCCGCACTTCCTCCCAGCGTCACCAACCCGCACTGACCGGCGTGGTGAAGTATGGTCAAATATCCCCCCACGAACCCGCGCAACATGGGGAGGCCCTCGTCCAGAAGTGGACTGACAGACGGGCGGCTGTAAATGTACACGATTAGTTCTGCACCGCTTGCTTAGCTTGTGGTACGAACTGGTCCCGTCCATTGTCACCCTCATTCACCATCGTCAGCGGTCCCCGGTCTAGTCACTGCTGGATACGCAAGACCGTACCGCGGTAAAGTCACTGCCACCTAGCGGTCGCTGACCGCCGCCGCCGCCGCCGTCGTTATTGACGACGGCATCGTTTGCCGTTGTCGATGTGCGCAGCTCGCGAGAGCTACGGGGGCACGAGGCTCCTGCGCAGGGCCGACTTCAACGTGGGCGCGCACGTGAACACGCTCTGGCGCACCGCGTGCCGCTCGCAGCCCACCGACAGCAGCCGCCGCGGCGCCTCCTCGTGGGACACCAAGCAGGTCACGTGGTTCGGTGAGCGCCTCCATCACACGCCGCCAGGGTTCATTTTTGGCCGATATCGCCTGCCGTGTATAAAGGACCGCGGAGCTTTGAGGGGCGGGGGAATTGTGCGCCGGCTCGCTCACCGCCCGGTCGCTGCCTTTCTTCATTCGCGTCCGTGGGTCGTCGTGCCTTTTGAGTCGTCTTCTCTTGTGAGCGAGTGAACGATGTGCCTTTGGCGCCTTTACAAATTTTTACTATTATTACAATTTTGTTAATGGATTCATCGGCGATAGAGTTAAGGGCACGAACGTTTCCGTTAATAAATCCCCGGCAGTTTGTCGATTATGAAAAGTGGCGTGCCCGTTGGGGGCCACAAAGCCAAGCGGTTATTGTTGGGCCCTCTCGGCCAAGTTCCAGTGAGGCAGTGCAGTTCATCTCGACGCAGCCCGGTTCCACCCGGTTTGTTAGACGTTTGGCACGATCGGTGCCAATTTTTGGCATCGTAATTTAGCGGCGAAACACTCTTCGGCAACAAAGTGTGGATTTTTTTGTCAACGATGCATGATGGTAAAGGTCAAGGTGCAGCGCTGCAATTGCTTGTCAGTGAGTCGACAAAGTTTATCAAGCAGTGACGATGATTTTGACTGTCCTCCAGCCCAAGCTCTACAGGTCCTCTGTATATAAGATGTTGAATCAATTGGCATTGAATATGTTAAGCAAGCGACGTACTATTTTACGACGTATCACGAATTATCATTTGCAACCCTTTGCCAAACACCTGCTGGTCATGGAGATTGACCAGCAGATTGAGATTTCACGGTTGGCTACGTACAGTGTGAAAGAAGTTCAACATCCGTGCACACAACAGAGCAAAGCACGTCGGACCGTGACGAGACGAACTGAATGAAGACGTTAACAGAGGCCGCAGTGCACCGACGAGCTCCAAAGATGTGACTTGGCTATTTATGATGAATAAAAGTATTTTCGCAGTTGAATGATTGGATGGCCTAACCATATATGGGGTGGGAGAGGGAGAGGGGCGTGGAGGAATTGCCTACGGCTCACCCCAACGTTTAATCACTTTGTGTTGGATTAACACCCGACCGCTTTTTTTTTTTTAAATCGACGACGCGACTAACGGAAAGACGACATAAAATCCACACGCGACAACGCTTGTCCATCATTCTGCAGGTTGTCATCGGCGAGACCTAAGGCTGTGGTTGAGATGAACCGTTCCGACTCTGTGGACGCTCGTGGTGGCACCTACCGCGGTTCCAGCCTTACGCGCACACACACAGACGCTCTGCCGATGTGCAGCAAGGCGTTATTTATTTTTTAAAACGTGCTGTGGATCTGTCACTGCTTTTGTCCTAATTGTGCTATTGCAGTGAAATGTCTCCTCTTTTTATATATTTGTGGTGTTATATTTGATGTTGTTTTTACCGCCACCAATTTTATCCCGATGGCGCTATCGGCGTCCCGTCACAAGGCAAATAATCCATTCGGATCTGGCGCAATGCAGCGCGCAACCCCTTTCACGTCAAAGGCACGCGCAAGCGGATATCACAGAGCTACATCTTAAGATCCACCGTAAAGTGCCCCTTGACTGTGACGGTCGTTGGGGTTGGCGAGGGGGGTGGGGAGGGGGCTGTGGGGTGAGACCCCCTTTGCCGAAGAGCAGTCTTGTGGGGGTCTACATCCTGTTTCATCTTGATTCGACTCCTCGCTTGCGCGTCTTCATTTCCGCGAAAAAAGCATTGGCAGTATGGTGAATTTGCCAATCGACTCCGGTCGTCTGCGATAGTTGACGGTGAATATGCGGATGTGTAAGTGTTGTAGGGAGCTCCCGAGAGCCCCTCTGGTGGACGGTATTTTGGCCCACTTCCACGCTGTTTCGTGACAAACGTAGGAGTACCCACGCTTTACCCCACCACACACGAAATGGCGATACTACAGGCGACATTTACGTGCGTTTTGCAAATTGCACGACTGACGAGACATTCTGCGGCAGTTCAGCGGTTGGATGTACAGGTGACATTTTATTTGATGTTTATTCGCGAGAGCTCGAGCGGCCGATGCGCCGCACAAATCCGGACGCGAGGCTTCGTCATCAGTTTTCCCGACTGGCTTTGCGCGGCAGTCATTTGTTTGCGAGGGTAACGTTTCGAAAGTTTGCGCGTACGTTGAGACCGTTCCGGCATTGCGTGGTGGCCAACGTTCCACGTCAACCCCGGCGCGGCTCGGTCGCCGGATTAGCGACGCACGCGGGAATAAGCTGCTTTATGAATGCAACAGCAAATATTGTTTATTGCGTTGGTAAATCTAGCGTTTTGGCAGTTGCGTAATTGGATGGCTGAGACAATTGCGTATAATGGGGTTTTTTGTCCTCTTTTTTCCCCTCCCTCCGCACTCTCCCTTTCAGCCAAAAGGAATAGTTGCCGGGAAAAGTATTTTGCGACGTTTCAGAGTGTGCCGGGCGGTCGGGATCGATCACAAGCCATCCCCGCTCTGTCTTTTTAATGGCTCACCTCAACCGCGCCACCGCCGCGTTTAAGCCTGGCCCGGTTTATCATGCAGCCGTGTTGCTCTGCACGCCCGTGTTGTTTACTGCCTGGTGCACGACACACACACTGGATCCGCTCCTGGCTTTTCAAGTTTTTTTTAGGCTTACCTAAGCTTACTAATGTGTGTAAAAAAAAAAAAACATTTTCAACAGGAATTTTTCCCACGATTTTATCCCGGATTTCGCTTTTTTCGGATCGGCGTGGCCCAACAACCGGGCTAGCTCACTTCAAAGTGCCCGTGAAAATACAGCACGTATCGGCACCCGGTTAATTTATTTCCATTCATTTCATTGTCCGTCGATCCTTCCCTCGTGAATGTGACGAGCGTTTTGAATGTACACTTCACGGCAGGTAAAGAGGCTTTAGTCATTAGCTGCGTAAACATTTCATTGTAATCATAGATCGCCCATTGTCAATCCACTGTTGAATTAAGGCCTTCAAATGCCATTACGGTCATGGGAGCTGTTTGACCATACTTCACCACTCCGGTCAACGTGGGTCGGTTCGGCTATCGTCGTATCTGCAATCTAGCCAGCCCAACGGGACGGCTCAGGAGGTGCCAGATTGTTAGTCCACTGCTGAGGGTGAAGTGAGATGCGGACGTCGCACATCAAATAATTTTCGTCCAACAAAACAAAAATCTTATTAACCCCACCGATTCCAGATTCGGGTGTCTCGTGAGGCCCAGCACATCGTAGTTTGGTTACAGCCAGCGTTAAAAACCACCCGTGCCGCTCCGCCTTCCGGCCTTCCGCGTTTCAGTCCCGGCTCGTGTGTGTGTGTGTGCCCAGCGGAAAATTGGGGTGCAGTAGCGGCCTCCGCGAGCCGTCCTCCTCCTCTGCCATCACCGTCGTGCCTCTCCTGTTGTCTCGCAGCCTCGCTGGACGGGGGCATGGGGCTGCTGCTGCCCATGGCGGAGAAGACGTACCGCCGGCTGCTCATGCTGCAGAACGCCCTCGTCACGCTCGTGCCCCACCTCGCCGGACTCAACCCCAAGGCCTTCCGGTACGGCGCCGCCCACCGTCGCCCAGGCCACCGAGCTACGTAGCTCTTTTTCAGAAGCGACCTGGCCATCACAAATGATAGCTCAACGAAGTGGCTTATCACGTGGTAATCAATAGCAGCCAATTACTCTGGACGCCTGATTCTAAATGTGGAGGGAAAAACCCGGAGAACCCGGAGAAAATTCTACGCGACCACGGAGAGTACATGCGAACTCCTAATACACAGGCGTCAGGGGTCGGGATCGAACCCACGACCTCCTGCATACCAGGCGAGGGAGTTAACATCTCCCCACCGTGGCTCATTTAATTTGTCTCGCACGGTCGCACCTAGAGGCTGTCATATATCGCGGCTCCTCTTGCCTAATCGCATCGTTACGCTCCTGGTCTCGAAAATGTAACGCTGTAGGGGCGCTCCCCACAACAGCTCTCACAGTGGTTGTCAAGTGGCGCCCCAACTCGTTGGTTTGGCCACGGAGTGGGTTGGGGGCAAGGCACCCTTTGCCCCCCCCACGCTCGTCACGCTGCTGGCACGCACGGCCCCTTCACCGCGTGCCGTGCCGGCGCCGGCCGCCCCTGCAGGATGCTGCACTCGGACCGGCGGACGCTGCAGAACACTGTGCGCAACGTCCTGGACGGGGAGCTCCTCTTCAAGTACCTGCACCTGAGCACGATGGAGCGCAGCGAACTGGCCAAGAAGATCGGCACCACCCCCGACACGGTGAGGCCCGCCTCGTCTCTGCGGCGGACACGGCCCCCCAGCCCCCCGCCCCCACGTCTCCCTCCCCCCGCGTCTCCAGGGTGAACGTTAATTAGGGGGACGTAACGATTCATTGATTGAAATTGACGAACATGCTCACAATACCGTGCATTGAATCATGCATGTGATTCATTTATTATAATTTTTTGTTGCTTCGTGTTTCAACTGAATTATGCCTTTGTGGGGGTGTGTAGGGGCAGGGGGGAGGGGGTGCAGTGGATCGCACACTACGCTATGAACTCATATACCTGAGTTCAATTCCCTGCCATAACCAACATGAATGGGCGAGTGATAATTGAAATTATCATACCTTCTCGTTCTTCATCGAGGTATCCTGACTGAGTTTGGTTAAACAACACCAAAAAAACTCTGACCAACACAGGACTTCATCTAGCAGGGGAATGACAAAAAGGCTATACAGTAAAACCTTGGATTGCGAGCATAATTTGTTCCGGAAACATGTTTGTCATCCAAAGCACTCGTATATCAAAGCACTTGTATATCAGTTGTGATCACGTGACGCTCGGCAGACAAAGCGTGTACGTACACTGCTCGTATTGCAAGAACTCGCTCGTTTATCAAATTAATATTTAAAAAATTTCCTCATCTTGCAAAACACTCGCAGACCAAGTTACAACCCAAGGTTTTACTGTATATATTTTTGTATATTATATAGATTTAAACCACTATAGATTCTCCATGCGCCACAATATTCAGAAACTCTGTTGATGAGTCCCTTCTCGACGTGCGTTCGGGTTGGTACCGCGCGTTGTTCGGCACTATGTCCGACGTTTCGCGCCACGCGCCGGGAGCTTCTGCAAGGAACCGAATGGGCATCGTGCCGATGGACACGCGGTACAATCCGAACAGCACGACGAAGAGCCATGCAGCAGCACAGCCACGAAAATGTAACGCAGCAGGTTATGAATCGATGCGTGACCTTTATTGAAATTCATGAAATTGTGTCAGGAATGACTCATTACAAGGCTAACGTTAATGGCCTTGCGGGGATGATAGTAACGGCCAGGTCAAAGTGTCTTCATGCACAAATAAACTTTTTCAATTCCATTTCTTATCAAAACCGGATAAGAGCCCATTGAGTAAAATTAAATACAACATTCGGTCAACTGTCGATTGTCTGTGGTTATCTGGGTGCAGATTAACCATACTTGCAGAAAAAAAAACACATTTGCCCAGTATGTTGGTGTCATGCACAAAAAATAGAACCCAAGGTCATTGTCGGTAAATCATAAATACTTTTACGGCCTCATTTATGTGTGATTAGCATAATTTATGTTTTGGTCTCATCTGGGCCACCCTACACCCCCTCCCTCTACTAATTACCCCGGATTTTTGAGAACTGACAGTAACAGAAAAGTGTTATTTTTCACTAAATAAAAATACAGAATTAACCGTCATAATTAGCAGGCATCGTAACTGCAAACAGCTGCAAGTTCAGCAAATTAAAGCGCACTTAAACGTCAAATTCGGTCGATTAAAATGTAGAGTTATACTAATTAAAACAGAACCGAGTAATAATAATTATAGGAGTACACCGAGTAGAGGAACAGCATGGTCTACAGTACAACGCATAATGTGACATTGACCCTTTAGCTGCACTAAGAATCAGAATGAAGTAACGTATTATTTTACGGTTGGGGCAAGTGCTGTTAATGAGTAAGTCCCTATGAAGGTCGGCACGACACGAGGAGGCGGGTGGCCGGCACCACGCCAGGCCGCCTTTGTCTCCCCAGTGGCGGTGCTTACACACCTTCCAATGTAATCATTTGAGGCTGAGCCGATCTAGGGTAGGTTCGGGACCGATTCAAATAATCGTCATTGGTATTGGTGGCCGTGAACGTGAATCGAACTCGGGTGGCCGGGTCCCACTGCGCAGCGCGCTAACTAACCGCTACACTACCAACCCCCCCCACAGCTACTCACCCGCACTCGAAACAATCACACCCACTCACGCCACCCGCCCCACTCCCTAACGATGGTTTTCTTCATATGGACCTGGCTGAATACTTAGGTGGTGGAGGGGGGGGGGGTGTACTGTACACGTCCGAACAAGATAAACAATTCATCTGTGCGGCTTCTCGGCCGGGTACAGGGCAGTGAGCCGATGTGCCGCAAGTGTCACAGATTGCACTTTGGACTGCACCGTTTCCTCCAACGGTCGCATCGGTGCCGCCGTAACGAAGCGCCGAATGTGCGCAAAGAAGACCGACGGAGCTCACGGCAGCTCCGCGCATTGGAGGCCTCGCTGACTCGCGCAGCGTTTGTTTTAGCGCCCCTACGTCCTCGCCTCCTCTCGGGTTTGACGCGTGGCGGGATTTACGCGACGACGCTTAAGCGGTGCACGTCGCTGGTGTGGAGACGCCGAAAGATCTTCTCCTCCACCCCACACTCCCCCTACCCCCTCCACCTTGCCGCCCGCCCCCACTACAGCCCCTAGCATTGCCTTGCTGTGGGCGGGTGACGTGTGTGGGTGTGATTGTGTGAGTGTGTGTGTTGAGGAGCGGTGGTGTCGCGGTTAGCGCGCTGCGCTACGAACCCAGCGACCCGAGTCCGATCCCCACTCACGGCCAACACCTGTGACGAATATCTGAACCGGTCCTGGGCCTCCCCTAGGTACGGTGTGTAAACGTCGCCATTGAGGACACAAAGGCGTCTGGGAGTGGTGTTGGCCACCCACCCCCCTCGTGTGCCGTGCCGGCCTTCATAGGTGCTCACTAACAGCACTTGCCCTAACAGTCTGTTACAGGCTATACGGGGGATATTTGTCTGTGTGTGTGAATGTTGGTGATTGAATGTTGCGTGTTATGTGTGCGTGTGGGATTTAGTGGGGAGCTCTAGTGTAGTGGTTGTCGGGCTGCACTGCAACCCGGCAACCCGAGTTCCGTTCCTGCTCAGGGCCAACATCGGTGATGAATATTTGTACCGGTCCTGAACTGCTTCCCTAGGTGAACTCGGACGTAAATTAGGACCTGGTGCAGTGTGTAAAGATCAGCCACCGGGGAGACAAAGGCGGCTGAGTGTGGTGCTCACGACCCACCCTCTCGTGTGCAATGCATGCCTTAATAGGTGCTCGCTAACAGCACTTTCCCCAACAGTGTTAAAAGGCCATATAGGGGATCTTTGTCATTGTTGTGTGGGATTGAGAATGTGCATGTGGTGCAACTGAGTGTGAGCATTTGTGTGGATGCCCGTATTTGAGTGCGTGAGTGTGTGTGCGTGTCTGCGTGTGTTTGAGTGCGTGTGTTTGAGTGCGTGTCTGCGTGTGTTTGAGTGAGTGTATGCGTGTGTTTGAGTGCATGTGTTTGAGTGCGTGTGTGCATGTCTGCGTGTGTTTGAGTGCGTGTCTGCGTGTGTTTGAGTGCGTGTATGCGAGTGTGTGTGTGTTTGAGTGCGTGTGTTTGAGTGCGTGTGTGCATGTCTGCGTGTGTTTGAATGCGTGTGTTTGAGTGCGTGTGTTTGAGTGCGTGTGTGCATGTCTGCGTGTGTTTGAGTGCGTGTGTTTGAGTGCGTGTGTTTGAGTACGTGTGTTTGAGTGCGTGTGTGCATGTCTGCGTGTGTTTGAGTGCGTGTGTTTGAGTGCGTGTGTTTGAGTGCGTGTGTGCATGTCTGCGTGTGTTTGAGTGCGTGTGTTTGAGTGCGTGTGTTTGAGTGCGTGTGTGCATGTCTGCGTGTGTTTGAGTGCGTGTGTGCATGTCTGCGTGTGTTTGAGTGCATGTGTTTGAGTACGTGTGTTTGAGTGCGTGTGTTTGAGTGCGTGTGTTTGAGTGCGTGTGTTTGAGTGCGTGTGTTTGAGTGCGTGTGTTTGAGTGCGTGTGTTTGAGTGCGTGTGTTTGAGTGCGTGTGTTTGAGTACGTGTGTTTGAGTGCGTGTGTTTGAGTGCGTGTGTTTGAGTGCGTGTGTTTGAGTGCGTGTGTTTGAGTGCGTGTGTTTGAGTGCGTGTGTGCTTGTCTGCGTGTGTTTGAGTGCGTGTGTGCTTGTCTGCGTGTGTTTGAGTGCGTGTGTTTGAGTGCGTGTGTGCACGGCCGTCTGCAAGGGAGCGACGCCGCGGTGGCTGCCGCTACCCAAGCAACCGAAGCGCAATTCCTCCCGGTACCAATTACCATCAGCGCCAAATTGGTGTCTGTGCCCAAAGCGGGCCTTCCCCCTAGGTCAATTCGGCCTATCAATTGAACACCAGGTGCAGGTATTTCAACAACACCGGCACTGGGGAGACAAAGGCAGCCGAGCGTGTGAAGTCCTGGCTCCACGCCCCCTCTACCCCCCCCCACCGCACATCGAGCCGTGACTGACCCTAATAGATGTCGGTTCAGGCGCTTGCCTCAACAGGCCAACCGGTGGGAGATCCATACCTCTGCCTGTGCGTGGGTGTGCGTGCGTGCATCCGTGCACCTGTGCGTGCGTGGGTGTGCGCTTGGAGGCTTCACCGCCTGGGAATTTAACGCACGCTCGCGAGCCGGTGACAGACACAATTGCACAAAGTTGGCAAATTGCCCTGGCTACGTTATCGATCGGCCAGGCCCCTGGTTCGGGTTTTTTTCCCCTCCTGCAGTCCGATTCATTTTCCCCGACGCGGATAACGGCGAAAACCCTCGCAACCCGCGTCTGCCTCCTTTCCCCGTCTGCTCTTTTAATTACGAGTCAATTATTTATTGCAGCCCAATTAAACCGCGCGTTAAACCGACGCGCACTTGTACGCGAACCTTCTTAATTACACATTAAAGTTTATGTAATCAGGAGAGGCTGTTTATTTTTCTGCTTTACACTTTTCACGTGGAAACGCGTAAAGTTTTATCGCCGAATACCTCTCGGCCATTAGAACACCTGGCCACGTCGATTATTGCGTCCCCCCAGGAAGCGTTCTTAAATTACGCGCTTAAACTCTTACATAAACAGCTTCCATTAATTTTCTCAGCCCCATCTCTGCGAAGGAGGGGGGGGGG